GCCCCCTCCTCCCCGGCGCCGAGGCGCCCGCCCCCGCGCGGAAAAAAAAACGGAAACCCCAGCGCGCGCCCCCACCGCCCACACCAAAAAGAGAAAAACACGGGACAGCGCAATGTCACGATTTCCCTCCATTGCGTGCTTGGCCCGTGGCAAACAACGGCGAAAACCAGTTTCCTGCGTCGTTGAAACGAAAGCTTTTTTAGCTTTTTCCTTGGGCAGGAGAAGCGGGCACGCCGGGCCCCTTGCAACTTCCTATTCTCCCAGCCGTGTGTCTCTAGAGATTCAAATGCTCCCTTTTCCTGAAAAATGGCAGTGTCCTACGTTTACGGTGAAGCTGCAGTATTGTCGAATGCAAAGTGTTCGCTTTTCTTTTACGTAGACTACCCACAATGAGCGAGCGCCTCAAACACAAGCTGCGTAATTGCGACCATTGCGGAGACCACCCAAAACGTCAGTATTAGCTTCTCCACGTTGGGGGGGGGGGCTGTATGTACCTCCTTCAGATAGTAGCTGCAATGAACGTTGAAGTGAAATAGTTTTTGAACATGGTATTTTTCCTTGCATTGATTCACACTCGTCGTCATGCTTCCATCAACACTTCGGATGAGTGATGCTCCAGAAGGGATTTTGAAACCTTGCTAAGTTCACTCGAAGCATATCAGTGCCGCTTTTACGCAACTGGTCCGTCGTGCATATTTATCGTGAGGTTAGCGCATGCCTTTTTCTACACCTGAGTTTTGAGTTCGGATGCTTCTTACCTGTCTGAAGTACGCTGTGAAGTACGAGCTGCCACAAAACAAAAATCATACGACCTTTCGTGCAGAAACCAGGCATCTGCAAAGAGCAAAACAGCCTTTCTGTTTTTCAAAGATTTGCGAGTCTTTCGCCGTTAGCTTGGTTTTTGGAGGTCGCTACATGCGAGAACATACGTCAGCTCTCCTAGCTTTGAAACGATTCTGCAAAACAGAGGTGTATGATCGTTGATGGGTGTGATCGATGAAGTCGAGCGACGCTTTCGAAACTTTTTCTTGCTGTGTGAAAGTTGGCGCTTTTCGTGCACTTTTTTTTCTGGTAGCTGCGCGTTGATCTTTGATCGAGCTGTGCCACGGTGAACGAACCCTAATGAAAACGTATTTAGATACGTAAGCTGTAGCACTGTGACTACGGACTCCAGAAGCAGCAGCAACAATTGCTGCAAAGTCTTGTGCAACGAGGCAGCTTTTAAGTGACGGACTTGGGAAGTGTTGTGTGTTGCAAATGAGATAGGGACTGCTGTAGTTGTGTTTTAAGAATGTAACCGGGTCGCCGCCCACTGAGGGTTATCCGAATAGCAGAATTATGATGTTATGTTGTGCGTTTGTTCTCATGAGCTTGTATTTGAGTTGTCGGCGGGAAAGTGAAACTGTCCAATTGTATCTGAAGTCCCCTCGTGCTCTTAGTGAAAAGGGGACTTACGCAACCTTCCTTGTACTACGTCTTCAACGGTAAGTGTATGACAACGACTGTTCTTTTTGTTCGTTTGTGTCAGTGCCTCTGTAGAGAATGAAGAGAATAAATGCTTGTTTTATACTCTCTTCCATTCAGACTTTTTTAAATTAATATGTGATGTTTCTGTCATTTGTCGAGTCAACGCGCGTTAATTTCGTGTCCTTTTCAGACTCACCGCAGATCTGTGGCTGTAACGTTAGAGTTCACAATTGCGAATCTACTGATGTTCTTTTGATGTGCCTGCTCTTTCTCACCGATTTGTGTTAAGTCATTTTTGTTCACCTTAAAAAGGAAAATATGGTCGTTAGTTAAGCTTAAAGAGCTGATTTGATGCACACTAAAATTTAAAAATGAATGGAAGGAAAATGGAACTATTAGATGAAAAGGGAAAAACAATTATTAGCCAGTGATCTCCAGTTTCCTGCCTCTTTTTGTGCTTTTCTTTTTTTACTTTTGCTGCCGTTCACAAGTTGATCTGAGAAGTCCAGCGCGTGTCTTCTAAGTATTCTCATCAAACCATCTGAGTTTCATCGAGTGCATTTCCTTCTCTTGTGCCTTGCGCAACCTATACACAAACGTTCAGTACAGCTGTTTTCCATCTTGAAAGCAGACAGTTGTTCTGACGTCAGAGGAAAAACGACTGCTTTCGTACGTTTGTTGTGCTGACCTTCTTTTTTATCGAGGTGTGATCCGTAATTCACCGAGCCGGGCTACTCTTTTATTAACTTCCTGGGTTTTTAGCACGTTTGGCACCTTTCTTTTTAAATGCCTGTTATGCTCGTTTAATCTTTCTTTTTCACCATTTGAATTGGCTCTCTTTCTTCAATTGCTTGGTTGATTAAAATGCATTATTGCAGTGAAAGCGTTTGGAGACGAGCTCCATTGGCTTTCGTCGTGCTCACTGCGAGTTGACGAAGCTGAACAGGCCAACAATTTCTCCTATATTGCTCACAGTCGATTTCTTCTACAACGATCAAAAAGCTGTATATATATAAAAAAGAAGTCTACTTTTAGAGTGCTTATTCACATATTTCTCGTCAGACAAAAGAAAACAACAACGAAGGTTCTTTGTTTTGCCCAATGAATGGACTGAAAGTCTCCAAAAGTGGATAGCTGTCTGCGCTGCAAACCTGAAGCTATGCAAGCTTTCCTGTTATGCTGCTGTTTTTCTTCTGTGTATGCTGACCTTTAAAATCTTCTTTTTTCTACCTACCTCCTTTTCTTCCGATTAAATAGTTGTCAATACCGCCACCCTTTTTTTTTCAACAACTCATTCATCTTTTAAAGGCTTCCTTATTTCTATTTTGATTCACTATTTCCATTTTTTGTTCTTTTTGAGGCGTTCAACTCGACTCCAGGCTATAGTGTACCTGGTTTTTAGTTGCTTTTTCTGTACTTTCTCTCGCAGTCTTATTGCTTATGTATGGGAAAAGAAGAGTTGATTATCAAAAAGGGTAGGAAGAATTTAGTATATCCAATCGTATTGCCGAATCCTGTGCCAAAAAAAAAAAGACAGAATGTGGCGGACTGGCACCATGTATGGAGGGTTCAGTGATAGGAACTACGGGTACAATCTTTTTCCAGGAGGAAATGCCGCGTGCCTACCGCAATCATATATAAGCTGTAGGCAACCTAACGGCTTAATGTATCCTAGCCCCAGTTGCATTCCTAGGCAACTAGATCCCATCCAACCCCAACAGTCACCTCAGTTGCAACCACAGCAAGTTGCTCAGCAAAATGCGGACTCGCCTGTTTGCCGTTTCTATCTCCCGACGATCAACAGCGCTGCATACTGGGGCCCTCACTTTGGTGACGTCGGAGGCAGCTCCGGACGATCCTCTGTTGATACCTCGCTCGCTGCAGTTACACCCATGAGTAGCACGCATATGCAAAACTATGACTCCCTGTCTCAAAAGCAGTTTACAACAGGCCAACCTCTTCCGCTGCCACAGTATTTTAGCATGCGCAATGGTAACGGACCTAGCTCCTACAGCTTACCAATGCAAAATCTGTCAGGTTCGTTAATGCTACAACAGCTGCACCCGCAACTGAATGGACGTGCTTCTCAATTGATCATGCCAAATTGTGCCAACTTTCGACGGAGTAATAGCAGTTACGGCGCAGCTGGTTTTAATGCTGGCACTTTGCAGCGCATCAACAGTGGATTTGACAGCCGACCAAGCGCTAGCTTTCGCGGTGTTGACGGCTTACAACGGCAATTTAGCACCGTGGGAGGAGACATGGGATTCTACGGCTACACTACTCAACCAGACACCAGCAATGGCGGTGACACAGAGGGCTACGGCGAGAGCGTAGAGCAACCTGGAGCATTGCAACGCGACAAAGCTGGTGGCAATTCCTTGCATCGTATGTATAGTTACGCTGTCGTCGAAAATACAAACACGCTGAACAGGGGGCCCTCAAACTACGGTAGCTTTTACGGTGGCCACAACCTGTATGGGGATGCCGGGGGCGTTAGTAGCAAGGGGAGCGCGAGCTTTTACAGGGACATGAGTTCCGGAAATCTTCAACACACATACAGTTTCGCCGGCGCCGTAATCCACGGTTATGAAAGTGGATTCAACTTGCTGGACGCAGCGGCAGAGCAAAATGAATTTGGCGGCGAACCCTCGGAAGCTAACTTATGGAACACCACCGGAAACACAGAATATGACGCGCTCAACAACACGAACCTGCCTCGGCTACCGTCTTTTACGCCACCGCTTTACATGCAAAGTTCTATTCCGCGTCCGCGTAGTCACTCTGCGCCAGCGAGTCGGCCAACACCACAGCTGGACAACTTTTCTCCACCAATGAGTGAGAGAGCTGGTCATGTCCAGCGGCGGCGGCGACAGAGGCCGCAGAGGCGCGCAAACAATGAAGCAGTGGAGGAGCCACAAATGCACAACAACGCTGTTGGGACGGTCGTCGAGATGAAGCCTCTGCCAAATCCAAACGAAGAAGAACTTCTTCCCATTAAGCGTCTTGGTTCCGCCCCTGTGAACACGACACGGAACTTGGTGACACCGTTTGATCAGATGCGTGCTCTGCGACGCGTTCAAACGAGTGGGTATCAGCCGCCAAACTCGCAAACTGTCCTCTCATCCTCTAGGATTGGTCGCAGACGTGACAACGGTGGTGGTCTTACTTTTTCGGGAGTTGCAGTTGTGTAAAGGTAGATGGAAACAAAGGAACTTAGATAAAAGCAATTTATCTTCTATCTTTTTTTTCTGTTGGTCGCAAGGCAGCTTACACATTTTTCATTGCTTTTCTTTCGTTGACCAGGAGCGCCGCGTTTTATGTTCGGATGAATCGGACTGCTTTCCATGTGGCCTACCTGTTGTCCTTCAAAAGAAGAATAAAACCTCTGTTCTTGTTTTTTCTTTCTCAAAACGCTGATCGACACCATCTGTGTCTTCTACTTTTTTTTAATTGGAAAGCTATGCCTCCCTATTTTTCCTCCCATAATATATTAATATCTTTACTTTTTTTTTCTTTGGGTCCTTCAACTGTCGTTTTATGGTGAAAGCTCTTTTTTTTCAGTTTTCGAGCTGGTGAAGGAAGCCGAGCAAAGATACTCCTGCTTAAATATTTTACCTTCTTCACGGTTCTCCTCACTTTCTTCTTCTTGCAATTCTTTTTCCTTTAACTTTTTTTTCGTTGTTGGATCCTTTTTTTTTTCTTAATCTCAGTATGCTCCTTTTGTTTGTAGTTTCGCCCCCTTTTTTCAATAAGGTCCGAGACTTGTTTGTTCTACCCGCCTGTCAATCGGATTATCTCGTTGTTAGTGTTTCCGTTACGAGTGCTCCATCGTGGCAATAGACCAGAAAGGACAGCAAAGCTGTTTTTTTGTTTGTTACTGTTGTTCACCTCCCCCTTTTACCCCTTCAGGTACCACATGTGCGCAACCTTACCAGCTTGAATTAGTTTTGCCTGCGAACAGCGAATAGACATTCAATCATCTTTTTTGTTTTACAATCGTTTTTCTTCCTTTCGCTCGACGAACGAGCGTAATGAAAGCATGTGCATTTCCGTCTTTTGTTGGTGTTCTTAGATATTTCGACACCCTTTGCTTTTTCCTCCCGATTGCGAACGTGATAATTACTGGACTTCGTGTGGCGGTGTGCCTAAGTGCGGATTTTCTATAGCTTCTGCAGTACACGTGTGCACATCCGTTACTTCTTTCCTTCGTTATCTTCAAATCGTCTTTTCGAAACGTCCGGAAGAGTGTGTTGAGGAAAAGAAGAATGTCTCCGTTGCCGCCTCTTCTCTTCTCCGCTGTGGTCTTGTGTTCAGGAAGCTGAACGGGAGTAACTGATCAGCGAAGTCTACGAACCATAGTTTTTCCCATTTTTTTGTTTACAACCTATCATGTGTGATTGAAAGACTCATAGGTCTTTTTATGTGCTGTGCACCGCTAGCAGCTGGGTAACAAGTGAAGGCTAACTGACACCTGACGGAAGCGAAAAATATTGTGAGCGACAGTGAGATGCCCTGTTAGCGCGCTTTTGCCATGTTTGTGCATATACCACCACCCCGTTGTTGACAGCAAAGTGTCTTCTTTTAATAGAAGGGTGGACCCAGAGTTCATATATAAATCTACTTTTTGTTCTCGTTGCGCCATTTCTGTGTGTGACAATCGAGAGCTTCGCATCGGTCTGGCAACTCGTGCATATATATATATATATCTTGTGTTTCTTCACGAATGCGATCTCTCTCTCTTTCCTTTTCTTCGTCTGTCTTCATTCGCGCTTGGCATTACTCCACTCCGTGAAGCATACCTGCGATAGGTGAGTGAAGGTGCACAAACAAACACAGAGAACGCTTTTTATTAATGTGAGTATTATTATTGGGGGTGCGTGTGACCTGAACCTGCGTTTTTTTTTAAATCCAGACACTCACTCTCTCTCCATATTATTTTTCCTCTTGGCGTGCTCCTGCACGTCGTATTTTACACGCATACCTGACTTTTGTATTTACGATTGTTACTTTTTCTTGCACTTAAACACCTTTCTGTTAACTCTTTTCTGTTTTGTGTGTCGTGTCCTTTCTCTTTTCCACACCTTTCGTAAGCGACGACGTGCGTTTAAGATCATCGATTGGCACAATGAGCCTCAAAACAAACCAACACGTAACAAAAACAAAAACAAACAAACACGAAGAGGTGGCTTTTCCCGCCCCCTGTTTCCCTTTTTTTTCTGCTGTTCAGTCCCAGCAGATGAACACGCGCAAACGAATACGGTCTGTGCGAACTAGATTTGATGCCTGTGAATCACCGCCTTTTTTTTGCAGGTGTCTCTTCTGCCTGCCCACCCACCTTGACTTCTTTCTTCGTAAAGTCGCACATCTTTCCTTGCTCTCAAGATGTGCTAGTCCGCTCCACGAGGGGCTCGCCTTTTTTTTTTACCACCTCTCGGTTCTTCTTCTGTTCCCCTCCCTCCTCCCCCTCCCCTCTTGGCAACAACCCGCCATGACTCGCTATGTTGCTTCCTTCTTTGTCATTTCGCACACCTCTCGCACTCTCACCATGCGGTCTTTCTCAGAGCGATATATGATTTGCCGCATCTCTATTTGAATACACAATATATCAAAGGAAGCACACTCCTTCACAGTCAGACAGCCTTTTATTGTGCTGCTCTCAAGTGCTGGCGGTGACCGAAACTGCTGAGTGCGTGTGCGTCGATGTAATCGGAGGCGCGCACCTCCCACTGTCGCGCTTACACCCACAGAACTCGCATTCTCTTTCATTTGAAGCCGTTTCCTACATATAATTCTGCAATCTTCTTTTCTTTTTCATTTTTTATAGCAGCTGTCTCTCTTTTTCTGTCTCTTGCTTTTTTGTTTGTTGTTCTTTTTTAAAGTTTACTGTGTGATTGCTACCATCACAAAGTCTCTTTTCCCATCTATTGTGCAGAGTCTTTTATACTGTTCTTTGTTCATAGGTCCTTCTTAGCCTGCTTCCTGTGTATGTATGCGTTGTTTATTTTTACTATTATTGCTACTACTACCATTCCTGCTGCACCGAAAGCTGTGCTGAAAGGGTCGCTCACTCTTTATTATTTTTGTCGTCTTTTCTTTCAGAGCCTAGTTTTTTTTTCTGTCTTTCTTTTAAAGTTGTTGTTGCGAGTAAACCGAGGTTTTTTTCCTCTGCTTTTCCCAATCTTCTCGTGGCAGCTAAGTTGCCCTTTTTTCCCCTTCATCAAACGAACATACACCCACTAGATTTAGAAAACAGGAACGCGAATTACAACTTCAGTAGTGGCCTCTTCTCATTGTGCACATCCTTTCTTTTCCGTTCGTTTGTTTGTTGTACATCCCTCACAGCCTCCGTTTTTTTTTTTTGGTTGTGCTCGTCTGTTTGCCACCGCGCACTGTCTTACATTTTCTTCTCCCGTTCTCCCTCTTTTCTCCCTCTTTTCTTTCTCTTTTAAGTTCTCCCCCTCCCCTCTATCATTCCCCCCTTTACTGTTTGTATTACTTCGCTCCTCCATTGTTGTAGCCGGATAGACTCGAGGTGGACGCCTTTTTTTGTGTGTTTTATTTCCCGCTACTCACTCGCTACGCTTCCTTCGTCATCCGCCCTGCCCTCTCGCTTTACGGGTACTCCCCCCTCTCCGAAGAAGCAGAAAAGAGTTTTCTCCGTCAATTCCAACGCAACATCAACAAGTCGATTTTGCAGAGTCCGTAGAGGAAGCTGACACAGAAGACACCGACTCACGTAATAAAAGAAAGGAAAAGAAGCTGCAAATCATTTAAGCCCTCTCTTTTTTGTCGCCGTTTCGTCTTTCTTCATAGCTTGCGTTTTTTGCCAGCACGCGTGGATCTCATTTTCTCTATGTGTATATGCGCTGACTGAAATAGGTTCGCGACGTGAAAATCTATTTCCTTCGATTTGTTTTTTTCCTTTTCAAAACAGAAGGGAAGATAAAAGAAGAGGGTGTGTGAAACAACACGTACGTATATACTGAAACCAACCCCCCCCCCCCCAAAAAAAAAAGCATTTGTCTTGGCTGTATACACGACAGTTACCGGTGTGCAACTTCTTTTTTTTTTGCTGTTGTTGTTAAACATTCGTGTTGCATCGAGCAGAGAAAAAGTTGTGCTCTCTCTCTTTCGCTCGATTGAACTTGTTTTCGTTTCTTTTTTTTTTCCCCTATTTTGTTCGTATTGATATTGGTGGGTTTTCTCGTTCACTGCACACGAAAGGCAGGTTTGTCGTGTTATCTTTCTCTCTTTTTTTTTTGAACTCTTTGTGCTCGCCATGTCAAACGGGGATTACAGCTACACGAATGACCTGGATGAGGGCGGGGTGCTGGGTGCCGTGGCGCCCCGCCACGAGCAGAACCACTCGCCCTGGGCCCAAGTAGTTGCAGAAATGGGCGATTCAGACGTCAACTACGAATACCTCAATAGCAACCCCAATAACGATAACACCCTCTCCGCCGACTTCGGCAACAACTTCGGCGAGGTGCAGACCGCCCTCGCATTGGAAGACTTTGTCGGTGTGTACTGCAGCAACCTGGAAAATGAACTGTTCGAGAGCAACTCCGTCTTCGACATTGGCGCCGGTGAACAGGGCACGCAGTCGCCGGACGTGGCAAGTCAACAGTCTGTCAGCGGGACTGACTTCGACACGCTGCCGATTGCACCCATCGCGAAGCAGCCCATCGATGCCTCAAGACGGTCACCACCGCCATCATTGACCCGGCAGCAGCCTCTCCCCACCACGACCACCACAACAGCTGCGACCACGTCCGGCCCCACGCGACGTCCACCCAACGCATCCAGCAGCAACTACGACAACACGTCTGTGAACGGGACGAGCTTGATGCCAGCCCTCGTAGGCGCAAGTGCTGTCGCCCAAGCCCCTGCCTCTCCCATGAAGTACGCTGACACGTACGGCATTGCGAATCCGTCGGCGGTGCCAAGCAACACGCACTCGCCACAGCATCTGAGTAGCGACACCAAGCACGGGCGAGAGGTGCACGAACACCCGCCTGCCTCCAAGCCTGGATCGGGTGTGGCGGGCTCTTCCATCGGGCCGTACGGCCTGGGGGGCCGCGGCGCGAAACCCTCCTCGGCCAAGGCGGCGTCCACCCGCACCGGGCGCCCTGCGCCACCCCCGTTGCAGCCCTCGACAATCCAAAGCAAAACCGATGCCGAGGACTTCAGTTTTGGTATTGAGACGTTCCTGCACGGTACGCAGCTTGGCTTTGGACGGCAGCCGTCCTTCAAGCGCATCGCGGCCGGCGCGCCGAGCCCGACGAACAACACGAGCAAGCCGTACTATCTGATTCCGGGAATGACGAGGGAGGGAAACAACTTGCCTGCCGCGGCGCCGGCGGTGAATAGCTCACTGGGACCCCCAATGCGGCCAGCCGCCGGCGCCGATCGCAACGCGGAGGCCTTCAGCACCTGGCTGGAGGCGCTGGAGCCGAAGGCGAACTCGAACGCGTCGTCTCCGCGCAGCCTACGCGCCGTAGCTGCAAACAATACCACTCACAACAGTACTAATAATAGCAGTACTAGCCCTGCCACGGTGGGTCCCTCTGTCCGTGAGGATTTTAAGCGCGAGGTCGATGTGATGATGAAGGACCTGTTGGGCGACTACGACCTCACTGGTGGCATGACCGGCGTTTTGGTCCCCAACACCACCGTCGCGTCCGGGCTGCCGCTGACGGGGCTTTCCACGGCCAACGGTGGCACCTTTAGCGGCCGACAGAGCAGTCTGTCCACTGGGGGCGGAGGTAAGGATACTACGCGGCAGCTAGAGTACGATGCGTTTCTGAAGGACATGCGCATGCTGACGCCCACCGCGCGGTCCCCGGCTGCTGGGGTGGCCGCGGCAAACACGGCGGCGAGAGACGAAAGAAGAAAGCAGCAGGCGAAGGCGTCGGAGACGACCGGGGTCGCCGCCGCTGCCGCCTCACCAAAGTCTATCTTGAACACCATCCCCGCTGTAGCTCCAGCACGAAGCCCACGGGCGGCCAAAAAAGGTAACGCCACGGCATCGGCGGCACCAGGCCCGCAAACGGGTCTCCCGCAACCGCCAGACGGGAGTGGGTCGCAGGCTCGCCGTCGGCCCATGTGGAACAATTCTGTCCCTGCCACGAGCAGCAGTGGCGAGGGCACCTCGGGAGCGGCCGTCGGCCCGACCACGGAGGCGGCGGAGCCGCTCAAGCCGTCACCTCCGCGAGGCAGCAAGGTGTCAGTCAGTGCCCATCAAACGCCACCACGTCCAGCAGTGGCGACCCGTCCCCTTCTCACTACGGCTTCCATGTCCGCAAGTGAGCAGTCTGCGCGCCTGACGAAGACCCCGCCGCGCAGGCTGTCGAGTCCGCGTTCGGAGCGGAGCAACAACAACAGGACCCCCCTCTTTCCCGGCTCGGAGACTTACGATGGCATGGACGAGGATTTGCTTGCCGGTGGGTACATGACCGGTGCCTCAGTGCTGCGCAGCGCTGAATCTCTGCCAGATGCGAGTAGCCCTATGAGAGGGGAAAACGTGGATAGAATGATGCGGATGCCGAGAAGCCCGCCGAAGAAGGATCGCACGGGCGCATCCTCCCCCCACGGGCGACGCTTCTCCTCGATGGACGGCCACATCGGTGCGTCGGCGGTCTCAACGTCGCTGATGCGCCAGAAGCGGCATCCGTCCTGCAAAAAGAGCGGGACGAGTTCTGCGGCAGCGGCGGCGCCGTCGGGCAGGTCACCTGAGCAGGTGAGCGGAGTCCAAGCAGCGACGAGCCCGCGACGCCGCACCTCCATTCCGAGTCTCTCCACCAGCAAGACCCGACTGAGCGGCGACTCGGGCACGCGGGCGACGAACCCGCTGCCGCTGCCCTCCTTTGCGCCAAACCATCTGCCGAACACAAACCCGCAACGTGGGGCGTCCACAAGCAGAACGTCGCCGATGCAGCGCGACTCTATCGCCAAAGGCGCAAGCGTGCTGACCATGAACAGCGTTAGCCGAGCCTCGCGGCGCGCCGGCACGAGCCCGACCACGGTAGAGCCAGTCACACTGGCCGACCGTGAGCGGCAGGGCTTTCTGCAGCGTGTTGGCGCCTTCAACTCTGAAAACCGCGACGACGTAAGTCTCAGCGTCGGGCGTAGCGGTGCCGCGGCGCCGCCGCGCCGCCGGCTGTTGGAGTTCCGCAGCGGCGGTGGCGACGCCGGGCTGCTGCCGTGCACCTCGCGCTCTCGCATATCCATCACTCACACCGCGGAGGACGCCCGCGCCGAGGCTGCGCGGCAGCGCGACCGGGAGCGGGAGGTGCAGCAGGCGAACGAGGAGCGCCGGCAGCGCATTCAGGCCTTCATGGCGAAACGCAAGGCGGAAAAGCAGATGGAGGAGCTGCGCAGAGGTCAGCTGATGGAACGTGATCGAAAGCTGGAGGCCTACAGGGAGGAACAGGAGCGGCATCGCATTTACGAGACCACCGCGCCGGAGCCGGTCACAACAACGTCGACACAGCAGCAGCAGCAGCAGCCAGGCGCAGTGGCGGGGAGTGGATTCAACGCGATCAAAGCCTCGCAGCGGACGCGCAGGCCCACGTTGGAGCGACTGCAGCGCCCATCGGTGCCCAGCTCGAACTTCATTCCTGAGGTCTCGACGGTGCCCATGACGCCGCAGGCCGTACGCAACGAACCTGCCCCCGATGCCGCCCCTCAAGGCCAGCGCACCGCCGGGCCCAAGACAAAAGTACGCGCGGTGGTGGTCTTCATCAGCAGCGACGAGGCTGCCAATGCCAGCAAGAAATCAGGCAAGAATGAGACGCCGCATCGCCTGAGCAGCAGCTCGACGGGGTGCCCCACCGTGTATGAGGGCACGTCTGTCGTGATGAAGCGAGACGAGACGGATAAGGTGCTGAAGGTGCTGCAGCCGCAGGAGCGCCCTCGTTACTTCAACGTGGACGAGTACGTGCTGATCAATGACGCCACTCCATCCGCGTTGTCTAAATCTCGCGACAGGGGTGGCGGTGGTGGTGGCATCACCGGCTCCTACGACACGGCGAATGCGCTGCGCAACGCTGCCGGGGCGCGACGCCGACGCTTGATCTCGCTGACGCTGACGGAGATGAGTCGGAAGTTTCTGGCCGGTGTCAACGTTGCCCTGCTTCTGGCCAGCACCGAGAACGCGCAGGAAGCGACGGTGCTGGCCGTTCGCGAAGTCGTAGAAGGTGTCGTGTCCCACATGCGGGCTCAATCGCAGCTCTTTGTCTCCGTCGCGTACGTTGCGGGTGGCAACACGGAGGACCTGCTGGTGGACCCGCCGCGTCCGGTGCGGTCGACTTTCAGAACCTCACCACTTTACGGGCCGACCCTCGACGGCGTCGACTACGTGCCTGTCACAGGCGCCGGCCATCTCCTGCGCACCGTCGCGGTGGCCTACAAGCGCGTCAAGGAGGGCCAGCCACCACCAGAGTCCGGGTTGTTGGTTATCTCCCTCTTGCTGAAGCAGTGCCGTGACTCGGATGTAATCTTGTCGTCCTACTTGATCAGCGATGCCGGGGTCGACGGAAGCCTCTACACGGCCATCCTCCGCAAGTCACCGCACTCGCCTTTTGCTCTCTTTCACTCGGCGCTGGGCGGGCCGACGCTGACGACGGTGCTGATGGCAACCGACGCAGCCGACGTGACGGCGGCGGTGCCGCTGCTGAACGTGCAGCACCGCCTGTGCACCATCATGAACAAGCCCTGTCACGTCGGCAGTGTGCGCCGGTTTAGTGAGCTGGCGCAGCGCGAGTTGGACACGGCGAGCGACCGCGCGAGCAAGGGCGGCGGCTCCAACAGAAGTGATGCAAAGACCAGCATCAGCAGCAACGGAGGCAACAGCACTCGTCAGCCGAGCGGCAACTCGTTCAGCAGCACCCTCAAGAGCCCCAGCAGCCGTCGGCTGTCGAGCGCGCGACGACAGCGACTGGGTGCCTCGCGACCGCAGATCCACAAGCGTCTGGCCGAGCAGGTGGCCGTCGCGAAGCAAATCTTAGCAAATCCGCAGGGCTACCTGCCGAAGGGCGTGCTGTCGACGGATAGCGAGAAAGGGTCCTCCGTCACGATCCAGTCCGTGCCGTGTACTGCACCTCCGTCCGCCGCGATGGCACCACGCACGCAGCTGACGAGGCAGCAGGAGGACGAGATCAAGGATCTGCAGCTGTCGAACGTTGGGCAGCCGCGGAAGGGGTCGTACAAGGGGCCGGCCACGGCCGCCGCCGCGGCAGCGGTCACCGCCGGCAACGTTGGCGGAGCGAATCGCACCAAGATGGCAGCAGCGACAGAGGCCGAGCAAACGCAAACCATTCCGAGCGACAACGGTGTTGTGCTGCCCAGCATTGCACCTGGCTCGGCAGCCGCCCCTGTCTGCACGACGCCGGCGCAAAGGGACCTGACGGCTGCGGCTTGTGCGCCGCCTGGGATGAGTGCGGTGCCGTTGAAGCACCCCGGCGCGGCGCCGACCGAGCTCGTCGCGCCTCAGTTGTCGGCGCGACGCTCGAGCAACTATCTCGCCGCTGCCACCACCGCAGGGAACGCCTCCGCAGCGAACTCCAGCCGTGATGCGCGTGAGGCGTCGTCTGTGCGGAACAGCCTCACCTCGGCCACATACGTTCCTCTTGCGGCTTCGCACGCCCGCTTCAGTCGTAGCGACGCGGATATGGGTGCTGGTGGCGCCGCCCCGCTTCCTCTCCGGCAGTCTGTCCTCAACGAGCAAAGTATGTCGACCAGTGCCACCTACGTGCGACGTGGCCGCGACAACGGCGATGGCGCGGCGCGGCGCAACACCGGTTTCATGAACTTCGAGGACGGTGCGGTGAGCCAGAGCATGCCGACGACGGAGACGGACCCGGACAGCAACAACAACGCCCAGCAGCAGCAGCTGCAGCGCCCACGCAACCCGACCAAGGCACCACCAGACCACCTGGGGCTGCCACCTTGGCCGGCGACGACGATGGCGCCGACTTCCGACGCTGCGACCGGTACGGCGCCGCGCAACTCCAGCGCTGCCCGGCGTCGCGGGTCAGCCGATGAGGGGCGCCCAGGCTCCGGCCTTCCGCCGTTTGCGCTGCCCAGCGTGATCGCCGGTCCCGCCGTCGCAAGCGTCGCAGGAAGCAAGCGGCTGCTGCCGAGCGCGACGCCGATGGGCTCGACCGGGCCGCAGTGGCCGAGCACGCCGGGGATTGAAATCCCCACCATCCTCAGCGTCACCTCCATCGACACCTCCTTCACGCGTGACGTGTCTGTCTCGATGCAGCAGAGCTCGAACGCCTACGAGAGCGACAAGGCGCCGCTACCGACCTCGACGAAGGTGCGCACATTAGTGATCCTCGACTCACACTGCCGCGAGACGTCGAACGTGACGTACGACAACACGATGGTGATCGCCACGACCGAGGACGACTTTGAGGAGTACGACGTGGACGAGGTGAGGGAGGCGACGCCCGGGCAGAAGGAGCTCATTCAGGCCGATCTGTTGAAAGAGCTATGCGACACGTTGCTGAGGGGCTGCAACGCGGCCATTCTCGGCGCTGACAGCCGCCCGACAGGCTTCTCCGCGCAGGTGCTGAAGTCGGTGGTGCATACAATTTTTGCGGAGATGCACCGCGCCGACACGCCCCGTAGCGGCCGCCTCAGCGCCTCGATTGTGAAGGTGAAGGGCGAGTCGGTGGTGGACCTGCTGCAAGACTCCGGCGACGCGCAGAAGCTCGTCATTGCCATCTCGCCCCTCTTTGGCTCCTGTGTGCACGGCGTCACCTACGCGGACGTCTCCAGCGGGGCGGGCTTCGACGACACGATCGACGCCGCGCTCGGCCGCGCTGCCTCGCACGACAACGGCCGCGATTACGGCTTTGTGTTCTGCTCCCTGCTCTTCAAGCTACGGCTGGAGGAAGAGGGGGATGTGCAGGTGTGCTCTCTGGTGGCGACCTTCGCAGGCGAGAACGTGGGCCTCTACACGTCCGTCCTGGACCGCAGTCCGCTGGTGCCGCGTGCGCTCTTCCACTACGCCCTCGGCGGGCCGAGCTACACGATCGCGCTGCTCGGCATCGGCAGCGAGGAGACCCGCGCGAACCAGATGCTGCAGGTGCAGAAGCGGCTGGGGGAGATGAGCAACCGCGCGACGCACCCCGGCAGCGTGGCGAAGTTTGTCGCCGGCATCCGCAACGACCTCACGCCGAACCTCATCGCCAAGTACGAAAGCTCGCGTGATCCGTCAGAGCGGGCGGCAACGAAAGAGATGATTGAGCGGCTGGCGGAGATGGTGAAGGATGCCGATGCGTTGCTGGTCGACTTCGACCACCACCAGCCGAAGGCGTACCTGCACGGCGACGCGGAGCAGCAGCAGCAGCAGCAGCAGCCGCCAGGCGGGGCCGCGGACAACAATAGCAACAACAAACAGCTGCAGCAAATACGCAGCACGTCCCTGTCTGTGTCACCCGCGACAGCCGGGATCGTCAGTGCTTCGGGTGACGGCAACGATACGAATAGAAATAAACGGAGCAGCGGCGCTGCAGGTTTGTGCCCGCACGGCATATCGACCCCCGCGCGCCCGACGGCCACCCAACGTGCGCTGCCGACCATCACGGCCGTCAACCCCGACGCCGAGGGGGAGCGCATCCAGTCGTTGGTGTGCTTCAAGCAGGAAATGATGGGCGCCGGCACCGTGGCGGTGCAGGGCAACACCATCCTCTGCGCCAGTCAGGGCGGCACCCGCTTCGACAGCGACGAGGTAATCACCTGCGACGAGAATCATCGCTCCCTGTCGTCGAAGCTGATGGACGATTTGGTGGCGAAGTTCCTCTCGGGTCACCACACGGGTCTCCTCGCCGCCGACAGCAGCTACAGCGCCTTCACGCCGCTGATGTTGAGGCACATCGCAAACAACATTATCGAGGCTGTGCTCGGCGGCAGTGGCAGCGATCATGACGAGGACAACGGCTTCGCCTTCACGAAGCCCCCAACCATCAGCGGGGAGCTGCAGGTGTCCATTGCGCTGATTAAAGACGATGTCACGGCGGATCTGCTGCCCATCGACGTCGACGCGACCTACCACCGCTTCGAGGTGGAGCACACGCCCCTCTACGGCCCACGCGTGATCGGCATCACGCCCCACCTTGTCGCGAACCCGCAGGACTTTGATCACTTCCTCGCCGTCGCCATCGACAACGCCGACCCGGCGCTGCAGACGGCCGACCCGGGCATCATGGTCGTGTCCCTCGTGCTGACCCAGCGGGTGACGAAACCGGTGGAGGACGTGCTGGTGTCCTCGCTGCTCTGCACCGCCGTCTTCGACGCAGTTCACCATTACGAACGTGTGCTGGAGGGCAACCCAGGCGAGCCGCTGGATCTCTTCAAGAACGTGCTGCGGGGGCCGTGCTTTTCGGTGGCGCTGCTCGGCATCAGCGACGAGGAGGAAGACCCGGGGAAGCTGCTGCGTGTGTTGAATGACCTCTCGCAAGTGCGCAACCGTGCGCCGCAGGTGAACAGCGTGTCGCGGCACATTCGGGAGCTTCAACGTGGTATTGTGAAGTTGAAGGAGCGCATGACCACCTCTTCCAATGGCGATGAAAAGGCGTACATCAAAAGCCGTGTGGAAGTGGCAGAGAATCTGCTGGAGGAGGCGGAGTCGCTGCAGCGCAATCCGCTGTCTCTGATGCAGCCACGAGCTTTTGTACCTCTCGGTGGCACGTCCGACTTGCATTAATACAAGGTACGCTTTTCCTCTTTCTTTAATAGACGTTTGGGTAGTAATGTACATGTAGACAACGCTCCGTTTTGGGGGATGTGCTTTCATCGTTTCTCGTAGTCTTCTTTTTTCTTTGGCTTTTGTTTTCCCTTTTTCATCGCAAATCGATTTGCTTTGTGTGTGTGTGTGTGTGTTCCACGGTGCTTGTGAAGCTTCTGTATCTTTTTTCCCCTTTCCTCCTTCATGTGATCGCTCTTTTCTTCTGTGCTTGTTCGGAGTGGCACCTCATCTTCTTTCTTGTTTTTCTTTCTTTCTGGTCTCAGCTATTGCATCACGTTTACCCTAACTGCCATGATAACCAAGGTCGAAATAAACACAAAAGAAAACGTGCAAACAGCGGGGATGGTGCCTTGTTTGTCGCCATCGATGCGATGCATAGCAGTACTACTCGTAGTACCGAGTACCCAAGGGCACTACGTTCTCGTGTGGGTCGTAAAAGATGATCAAGCAAAGTGCTTTACTGCATCAACGTTGCTTCAGACGTGAAGAATGAAAGGAAGGAAAACTGGAGTTGACCATTTTGTTTTTATGGGTTTCCTTCTTCCGTGTACGACTGAATCTCACGCGAATGCTCCTACCACTTTTGCATCTTCTTCTCCCGTTCTCGGCCTTTCTTTTCTCGTCTGTTTCATGGGTGGTTGAAATGCGTGCTCGTTTGCTGTGCGACTTCCCATAAGTGTTTGTGTGGTGCACCTCTTCCCCGTGGTGGTTTGCCCGATCACAACTTGCTCTTCATAATTCTCTTCTCTTCTGGGTCTTCTTTTCTTTTTACCTCCTTTTCCTTTGCTGCAAAGCCTCTAGGAAGAAAGGGCGAGGGTAATATCAGCACAAGGAGGGAGTTGTGGTAGGAAGAAATTTGACTTGTTTTACTTCTCCTCGCTTTCTGGGAAGGGAAAGCGTTGCGTGTGCGTTTTCAAGCGCTCCGTGGCCCTCCTTGGCAACCAAATACACGTTAAGTTCTCGATTATTATCAGTTTTTTGTGTTCTTGTGTTTCTTCTTGTTAATATTGCTTTGTTGTCCTCTCTTCAGCTCAGACCCCTTGCGGCATTGCGTTCTCCCTTCCGTAGCTTTCTTTTTTTTTTTCTGCTCACACGGAAGCACTTTGCGTCCACACACACACATACACATACACACCTTCGACCTCGACTTGGAGCATCAAACAAGCCCCATTTTATTGACAAGGACTTCGTTACTTACGACTTCCCACCTTTTCCCGCCTCCTTACAACCTTGAACTTTTCGTTTTAACTACCTTTTTTTTTTCTTTCTCCTTCTTGTCGCCCGATTGTGCCTCGGCGAGTGGCATCACTAAATCCTCGGGTAAATCTCCATTCTTTTTTTTTTCCTTTTAATGTGTATCGCGATCGCTTCTCTAACTCTTTTGTTTTGGTTTCGTTTCTCATTTACCTCTTTTCTTTATTCGTTCGGCGAGTGCTTTTTGAGCTGGTATGTGTGCTGATCGGGAAACGACTCGAAACAACGCCTATTCCCATTCTATCCCTTTTAAAAAAAAACCAGTTCGCTGTGGTGTGCATAATTGCGTGCTTCTTTCTTTCTGTTTTATTTGTCTTGTGCTTCTTCTGCGGTTCGTTGCGTGTTGTTTTTACGACGGACTCCAACCTGAATGTGAGCGTTAAAGAGAAGTGTTTCTCCTTTTTCCGTGTTGTGAATACTACGTATTTTTTTTCTCGCTCACCGTCTCTCTTATCCCTCCCCTCCCCCCCCCTCCTCCTCCTCCTCTACACGTGCTTTCCTCCTTGCACGATTGTGTGCCTCGCTTTTGTCAGTTGCCTTTTGCTTTTTTTTGCTGATTTTTGTTTTTCAGCTTTGCATCCCATTCGTCGTTGAGTTGCCGCTGCGTTGTCTTTCCTCTATTTTTTTATCGGGAGACTTAATTAACACTATTGTTTTCTCCTCTTCTTGCCGTGGAACTGTTATTGTTACTAATACTATTATTATTCTTTTTTTGCTGTTGGTGCGAGTAGTGTACGCTCGTTGGTGCTGTGTACTCCCTCTTCTTTTCCTTTTTTGTTTTCGTTCTCTTCTTTTCCAGGGAATACGAACATGCCTCTCCGCGATAAAGACGTGTGGCTGGACCTCGATGCGCGTGACAGGTCGAACTCTGATTTCTTCAGCATCCCCGCCGACAACGACACCTTCGCCTATGCGAGCGGCACGAGTCCCACTACGACGCGGTTGGGTGGTTACGTGGGGTCGATCTACGCTACAGCACCGCCTCCTAATGCATCTGTTGTCTATCACCTGCAGCTGGAGAAACTCCAGCAGGCGTACGCATCTTCGCCGAAGTCAAACAGAGCAGTGGACCGTCGCAGCAGGGTCTGGAATGATGACAACAACGCCGTAGATCATCGATGCAGCATCGACGACAGCGAAGTGCTCGCGCCCGTCCCAGCGCGCGTAGCGAACGACGACGGGCGTGATAACCGTCCAAGGACTTTTGAGACCGCTGCGGCACTGCTGGTGCGAAATGCTGGTTCAATCTCTTCCCCAGCGAGCTTGCAGTCCGTCTTCGTTCCGCCGCCGCGCGTCGATGGCTCCGCAGACAGCTTTCCAGAAGTACTGTGGCAGAACGAGCTGTCGTCGCGCCGACGCTCCTCAGCCGTGAGCGACGTCGCTGAACGCGACGATGGAGGGTGGGCCGTGCTCAACGGCCGCTCCCCCGCGTCCCGCTTCCTGCGGACACGTTCCGATCCAACAAAACAGAAGGAGGCGCCTGCGAGCGCGGGTGTCAGCGGACTGGAGTTCACACTGACGCTGGTGCCGGGTCTGCACCACCCACCACCGACAGACGTCGAGACAGATTGCAACGCCGTCTCTGGGCCGGTGATGATCCCGCAGCGTCAGCACTCGCAGCCGCAGCGGTTGGCCTGTTCGCCCATGGCACGTGCGATGGCCCCCTCTCCGATGATGTCGCTGACTCGGCCCACGATGTCCCGCCCCGCCTCCATCTCGCTCAGCCCGATGGCCGCGTACGCACCGCATGACACGGCGGTCGGTGAGAACGGCTTCTCCATGGTACTCGGCATCGACAGCTCGGGCAGCCCGCGCAGCCCGGTGAAGCCGCCGTTCCTGTCTCACTCGTACCTGCGGTTTATGGCGCTGGAGGAAACGTCATTTCAGCCGGACGAAGTGTGGGAATGCTCTTCGTCCGACCCCCATCCCCTTTGCCAACTTGCGGCGGTGGCGAACGACCTGCTTCGGCCTTCGCTGCGCTGCTCGTCGTCAGCAGACAAAGGCTCCTACAACAAAAGACGCACCAGCGCTGCGCCAGCAGCCGACGTTGACTACAACCTGCTTGATCTGTCAGACTCACCGGTGGATGCCGTGCTGGGCAACAGCTATTTCGATGACATGCTGCCCCTCATGTTGCAGTACGGGGAGGCAATGATCCAGACAGAGCAGCGCAGAGGCGCCCAATGGGGGGAAGAGCAGCAAGGGCATGGGAGAGGGGTGAGACCGGTAGACACCACCACCACCACCACGGCAGCGGCGGAAACAAGATCGGCTGCACGCAAGGATGGCATTGCTAACGGCTCTAACGCTCTGGACGAATATGGCATACTGAGCGGTGATGGCGAGGATTCAGGCGCGGCAGGTGCTGCGGAAGGTGTTACGGCGTCGGTGCTCCTTGTCAAGGCGATCGAGCTGACGGAGGAGAAGGACCGAGTGCTTCTGCTTCATGAAGCATATCCGTACGTACCGGATGCGACCAGTGCTCACAGCGACAGAGACGAAGAGGTGCATAGTAAATTCGGCGACAGTGCTGTGAAAAGGGTTCATTCTGACAGCGGCTCCTCCGAAGTGCGGTCTCCTTCATCTGCCATGCAGAAGGTGGAAAAGCTAATGATGGCGCTGGACATCATGCCAGCACCGTGGGGACGCACGCCATCCGCCGTGACCCCGGGAGCGAGCGGGATCGTGCCGAAGGACGATAAAGCAGACAAGGAGCGTGCAGACCCCACGCGGTTCAAGCGGTGGCGTGATGAGCTGACCCCCACTGACTCTCTCGGTGCAGCGCAAACGCGCCCCGATGACGACAATCGCAATACGCGCCACAGCGAGGACGTTGAGAAGGAAGAGAGGGACAACCCCGGCGACTTTATCGCACACGTCGCGCCGCCGTCTCTCCTACCGGAGGCGCGTTCGCCGATGGGTCCTCGCGCTGTTGGTGGTGCCGATGCGACGACGCCGCCGCTGCCGACCTGGTCCGCATCAAGTACGACGAGGAAGTCAAGTTCGGCACCCCCAAAAGAAGTCCCTTTACGCGGGCCAGCTTCTTCATCAAAAGCGGGCGGAGCGTCCCCTGCGTCGTTGCAGCTGCACCGTCCACTATCGCTGCAGCCGTCAGGCCAATTGAAAGTTGCGGAGGCTACTGTTGTGTCAGGCGCACCAGTTATTGCCCCGACCACTCGTTTTGCTAGACCGTCAACGCCGACCAACGCCAGCGCCACTTCACCACGCGTGGTGACGTCGCAAGAACAGCGGCGGCAGCACCCACCAAAGAAAACGGCGGGGGTGCTCCGTGCTCGAGCAGCTCCCACCAACCGCGTAGCTCCCTTTGCGTTGCTGATTGAAGATGACGAAAGCGAGTGGGAGGCGTCGTTGTCGTTGCAGCGCTCTCCATGCGCTCAGGAGTCGTGTCTTTGCAACGGTGGCGCCGTTGCCAGCCCCGATGACCATCATGTAGCACAGACACAAAAAGCGCAGAACACGGACGTGGCGGCGTCGGCTAGCGTCTCCGCCGCAGCCTGGCAAGCAACCGAACGAATCGTATTCTCAAAGGCTGCCCGCCGGACGTTGAGCCGCACCGTGCCAGAGATGGCGAAGCTCGTGGCAGATGGGCTCAACGTGAGTCACGTCTCATTGCACGCCCGGCGCGCGACGCCGGCGGACGCCACCTCCTGGGGCAGCCTCTTTCCTGAGTTTTTCACTTGCTTCTTTCACCGCCTGGCGGAAGGGAACACCGCTACGACTTTCTATGCCGCCAAGCTGTCCGTTGCCCTTCTGAAGTGCGACCTTTACCGTGACTTGCTGAGCGACGTGGTGCGCTTCACGCCGGTGGTGCTGCTTGGCACGCCGCTGCTGGGCCCACGGCTGGAGGGACTCCTCGCGAAGCCGGTCTTCACCGCTGCAGAATGCTTGCAAACCCTGTGCGACGCCCACGAGCGGCTCTCCGCGGACGATTACACCAACGGCAGCCTCGTCGTCACGCTCACCCTGAAGCAGCAGCCGCTGGACGCGGCCACCGGGGAGCGGCGCGACGTGCTGCTCTCCTCACTCACCACCTTCGCCTCCAGCGCGAGTGTGTACTCGGACGTTTTGCAAGTCGATCGACTGCCCGCGACAGCGGACTTTTTGCTGCAGCTCTTCCGCGGTCCCGTGCAGGCCGCCGTGTCTGTCTACACCCCTCATCTGAGGCACCATTCAGCTGAGCTGCGCCGAGCACTCGAGGTGCAGCAGGTGTTGTGTCACCGCCTCACCACGGCACCACGTCTCGGGAGTGTGCTTCGTTTGCTGAGTCACATCCGAAGTGAGCTGCGCGCCTTCTGGTTCATGCTGGAGGCGTCAAAGGAGCGAGCAGCGGAGCAGCGACGAGTGCTGATGGCCGACGCCCTTGCGGCGGCGAAAGCGGCGGCGCTCTCCGACACCACCCACGAACCGGACAGCTTTTCATCCTCTCCGTCATCGCCGCAAATCGACGCCGACAGCCTTGCCTGGGAGGATGCGGCTTACCGCCGAGAGCGGGGGCGACGGGCGCAGCTCCGCTATGTCCTGCGCGCTCTCACCTGTCTCGGCAACGACTGCACAGGCATCTTGGCCGACCCGGTCACGAGGTTACCACCGGTGTACTTTCTGCCTCGCCGAACCACCGACGGAAAGTCAACGCTGCAGCAACAGCAGCAGCACGTCAACTATTGCCATCAACATCCTCACTACATCCATGATGCTGAGAACCGTCATGGTGGTCACGGCGGCGGGTCAGCCCTTTCCGACATCCACGAAGAGGCAGCTCAGCCGTATGCGACGGCGTCCTTCTCTCACCTCCGCGGCGGCATCGCTGCCGACGCGCCGCGAAGGGCGGGCGGGGAGGCGAGCGACATGCACAGCGACAGCAGCGCACTCGCTGCGGCGCAGGAGTTGCTGGCGAAGGACGGTGTCGTTAAAGGGCGCTCGCTTGCCGGGGCAAGGCGCCGCGGCCCAAACACCGCGACCTCCGCTGAATGGGGCGATGGCCTAAGTTGGGTGTCGGACGTGCCACAGGCGAATATTTTTGCCGGCGACGCGGCGTGCGGGTGGCGTGGCATCCGGCCGCTGTTTCGCTCCTGCGACCCACTATTAGTGCAAGCCTTTGGCGCGACCGCGAACTCTGCCGAGGCCCCCACGAAACCCGCGCTGATGCTGACGGTCGTGTACCTCGAGACACATGATTCAGACCGCACACGGCCTACTCTCGCGGAAAGCCACAACGACGGCTGCGGGCTGCGGAGGGAAAACATGCTGCCCGCTGGCAAGGCGAAGAACGGCATGATGGGCTTCACCGTGAACGGCTTCCCTGTCGGAGCCACGCGTGTGCTGCAAGGAATGCAGCAGTTTCACGTGGCGGAGTTGTGTGTGTGCCACCGCCGCCGCCGCAGAAGCGACGCTGCACACGCCTCGCGCAGGTCCTCCCGTTCATTATCTGGTAAGAGCCACACGAGCAGCGGCGCGGTGTCGACGATCGTCAAGGCGGCCTTCTGCGGGTTTCTCGAGGGAGAGAACATCTCTCTTCTCAGCATCACGGAGGCGAGTGCGGAAGTGGACGCCGCGGAGCGCATGATGTTGTCGCCACTCTGGCTCGCCATGCGTGAGCTCGTCGAGACAACCCTGCAAGGTGCAAGTGGTGGCGACGGGACCACTGCCACTACTACGAACGGTCCGTCGTCACAGCAGGCGCTTTACATGTCAGTCACGCATCCGCTCTCGATCGATTACGTGCAGGATCTCTTGAGTGGCACGTGGACGGGGAGCAACGGCGGCCCTTCAGACGACGGAGACGCAGACGCGCCTGGCAGCGTCGGTGCGAACAGCTTCTCTCACGTCCCGACCTCCGATACGGTGATGGCGTTCCAGTCGGCTTGGACGCCCGCCGGGTCGGTGGTGGCGGGTGCCCGTTACATTGAGATCACTTCCGTAGAAGGGTTCGACCAAGTGGCACGCAAGCTGCCGAATCGTTTGCGGGCCGTCGCCGAGGCGCGCCGGACGGAATCGCCAGGCGGCACACACGTGTTGGTCTCGTTCCTGCTGCGACGACGTCATGCGTCGTTGTCCCATGCATTGTCGCACCGGAACGTAAAGGGAGCAGACGACAGTTGTTTTGTTATCGCGCCGGCTCGCTCGCGAGAGGAAGACGCGCGGGACTCTGAGGGTGGTGCGAGCAGGAATGCCACCGCCACGTATGCCGCCCCTCCCACGCCTTCCGGTGACGACGTCTTTTTTACTTCCGCGACGGTGCTGCTGTCGACTGAGGCGCTGTTCTGGAACGCGCTGCAGCTCGGCGACCACGTCGCGCCGTCGCATCCACTCAACCTGCTCCGGCCCATTTACGGCCACCGCGTGGTGTGCGTCGTCGACGTGGCGGCGAGCGCAGTGGACCGGGCGTGGCCGCTGCTTCGCGCTCAGGAGCGCATGACGCAGCGCGAGCAGTTCCCGCTGTGGCGCGTGCCGTGGTCGGTGACCGCGTATACCGCGTACCTCGCGAACCGGCGCGATGCGATGCGCTGGTGCATGGAGCACCTGCTCTCGCCGTCTGTACCGCCGACAGCAACCACAACGGCGGCGTCCTCCTCACGAAGACAGGCGGAGGGCATCAAAAGGCGGAGGCACATTGACCTGCAGCGGCCGGATGCACCGGCGTGGGTGCAGGAACTTTTCTACGGCAAGCGTGTCGCGCTGTCTGATCTAACCGCCACCCTACGGCAGGTGGAGCTGATGCACGCGATCGGTGTGGGCTTGCTCAACGGCCGGCGGGGACCGCAAAGGACGTCATCGACGACGGACTCCCGCGCCGCATGCGACCGACCCATGGCGCTCCTTGACGCAAAAGTGATGTACGACATCACCACGCCGCCGCCGCTGCTGACGCCGCTGCGGCCCAGGGACAGGGAGCTGCCGCCGACATCAGCGACTGCTGCTGCTGCTGCTGCGGCGGCGACGCATGCACTGGCGAACTCCCAACAGTGTTCCTCGTTGTACGCGCAACAGGAGCAACGCCAACCACACGGGGACACGTTGGCCATGACAGCCATGACAGATAGGATGTGTCAGGGACCGCGGATGACTGCCGCGCATTCAAAAACCAAGGATTCCGTCTCGCCCCCGCGCAGACGTCGAGAAGAAACAACAGTGGACGATGAGGAGGCGGTGCTGGTTCGCTTTGTGCGAACGCACGGGATGCTACACAGGCAGCGGCGGCACCCGCGGCAGGCGGTAGGAGGGGGAGCACCAGTAGCAGCGGCCAAACCACGACTACAAAGAAAGAAAAGGGCCATGACACCACCTCCCGAGCAGCGCATGGAGAACAGGAGTAGGGAGGCGAAGTATTCACCGCTGCAACTCTTCGACAGAGCGGCGGACGAGGAACCTGTGATGCTGCCCTGGACTTCTGCGTCGGCCGCCGCAGCGGCAGCGGCAGCGGCAGCAGCAGCAGCAGCACGAAAAGGCACCCCTGCGGGTGTTGGGCCTGTATCTCACGATGTCGAGCTCTCGTTACTCAGCGTTGCGGGCGAATGTGCGAATTGTAGCAGTCTCGTGGCGACCACTTCCGGTGCCGCACGCGAAGGCGAGGGTAGGACAGCGCCGCATGGTTTGCCGAGTCTGCTCGTGCCACCGCCTCCTCCGACCGGCCAGCCCACAAGCCGGCACCGCACTACGCCATCGCCCACGCCGGCTACCCCTTTTGGTGCCGCCGCGGGCTCCTCCACACGCTCCCCCACCAACAACACGTGCGGGCCCTCCTCTGCCTTTGATAGTCCGACGGTGGCGTCTCCTAAGGAGGCACCATCTCCTAGCTCGATACGCACGCCCCTTATTACGCCGGCGAGGTGCCGACCGCCAAGTCGGCCGCCTAGTGAGGGGATTTGCCTTGCTCCTTTCTTTTCAGCTTCCTCGCCTGTTCAGCGCGCGGCTGCCACAACACCCGCATCACAGCCGGCCTCTGAAGCGACCTCCTTGCCGTACGTCGTGCTGCAACGGTACACAACCGTGCCGCATTGCCCAATGGGCAAGACGACGTCTGCCGACCCGCCCACCTCCCCCCTCGTCGACGACCCCATCAACGGGTCCGTGACGGTCACCTACGTGGATTCCGCCAGCCGTCCGCCGTGTGCAGCGTCAGCCGCGACGAAGACCGTCGCGAGTGCCACCGCGCGTTTGCAGCCACATCCGCCTCCTCGCGCGGAGTTCTTCTCGTTAAATAGTGCTTCTTCAACTGCGCCAGCCACCTTTGGAACAACAAAAAGAAGATGAGAAAAAGGTAAGAGGCACACTTTTTACTGTCATAAATTTCTGTCTGCTGTTTTTGTTTCTCTTCGTGATTGTTGCAAGGAGAAAGGAGTGGGTGAGGCGAATGAAAATTGTATGTTTTTTTTTCTTTTCCCTCTTCTGGCATTCCTTTTGAGTATTGTTATGGAACCCACAGCTGATGGCCGCCGATGTACACACAGTACGTTTCTTCGTATCGATCTTAATGTGATCTGACGCTTCTTCTTACCATGTTTTCTTTTTCTTTTCTCATATTTGTGTTGAATTGGTTTTCTCCCTTGTCGACCTGTGCACATACATACACACTTTTTGTTGCTTTTATCGAGGCCTCCCTGTTTTCTTGTTTCCCCCCCCCCCCACTATGTGCATGCCTCAAGTACACCACACTTTTTTTTTGTTTTACCTGCACACTGTTACTGCTGTTTCCGACGGCAGCTCGTTCGCTTTCTTTTCGCAGTAGTGTCTTTTGTGAAGGAGCAGCGCATCGCCTTCCAAACAACAACGACAAAAGAACACTCCTGAAAAACAAAGAAACCGTCAAAGACAGAGATAAATCGCTCGAAGATCTGAAAACACACGCCTTCCCCCCCCCCTCCCCGAGGAACCGCACGTGCGTCTCGCTTCCAATGAGTACGTTTGTCAACTGCTTCCTTATGGCCTCTGCCGTCAGCCTTTGGGTCTGACAAGCACATACAGTGTCGTTGCCTCCTCTGACTACCTCACTGCAAAAACTTACCCTTTCAATTCCTGTCCCTTTTCTTTTTTCTCCTATGCTACGCACGTGGTTGTCGAAACAACGACACAAAATAATAATAATAAGATAGTCACAGCCTAAGCTGTAAGAGATTTAAAGTGGGTGTGCAACGCAGAGAGTACCGTACAGCAGTTGCAACAACACCAGTTGTGCAAATAGCAAAAGGAAAAACCAACAAAAAACTTAATACATCAGCAAACCTCACCTGCGGAGAAGCGTCGCGTACCGGTGCGCAGCCGTCGTGCTCTACCTCTCTCTCTCTCTCTTATATATCTTCCTCCGCTTAACAGCTTCCTCCCTCGTTGAACTGCACGAGGCGACCGACAAAGCCAAGCTAGTTCCGCTATTTCACTACTTCACGACCGCATCTGCGTAAACACCTTCGGCGGTCTGCTGCGGCACGCAAAGCTGCGGCAGGAGACCCGCAAAAAGAACCCTCCAAAATTGTTTTCTGTTCTGCTGAGCGGAACTGGGCGTCCCGCTTTCATTGTAGCGAAATCATTCGTCTTTTCGTCGTTCCTTTCTTTATATAGATCTCCTTTGCTACATTGTCGTTTTCCTTCATCGGAACTCTACTGTTCATAGTGGTGCCACCGCCTTTTTGTAATCCAGTCCACCCTCTCGTTATTTTCCTCATTATTTTTGTTTCTGCTCGCAGTGGCGCAGCTGGTGTCACGTCCAGAGGGAGGAACGAATTGCTCTGTTGATGCGTTGCCTCTTTTTTTCCCTTAACCTTTTCATTCGAGAAGTAATTGCCTTTTTTTCTTCTTGATTCTTGAATGCAACGCACAGAGAGGCACACCGGCTAGGATTCTTTATATGTATATACTTTTCTCTTCGCTCGGCGAAGCAGTCGTCCTCACAGATATTTTATCTTTTATCCTTTCTACAGCGAATATACCGTTTCTGTTCTTTCCTGAAGCTCATTAACGGTTTCGGTTCAACGCGGGAGTCCAAAGAGGTAACTCGTTTCATTACATTGGCATATTCTTTTCTGTTTGTTTGTTTTTTAACCATTGCGTTTTGTGCGTTGAAAAACCTTCAGGGAAACTTTTTCTCGTTCTCTGCGAGAATACAGGAAAGTAAAGCAAGTTACCCTCTACCTCCCTTCACCCCCTTCACCCCCTTTTCCCCCTTCCCCCCTTTTTTTACCAATCCTTTTTTTGCATTTTCTTTCTTTTCAACGGAAGTGTGTGCGTACGCGGCACCCCAGGGTATATATATATATATATTGCTGCTTTGTTGTTGTCGTTGCGACATTCACCGAGCCCAACGCCGCTGTTCTTACGGGTCTTTTTGTCTTGCTCTTCTTTCTCTGTTGAGCACTGTATTCAATTTTCGACTTGATTTTTTTTCCATCACTTCCCTCTTCTAAGCTGTGTGTCTGATTTTTATTCTCCCCCCCCCCCTTTCCACCCTGCTCATAGCCTTTAAAAGCTGTTTTCTGACTTGTGCGTTAATGTAAACGTTTCTGCATAGCCTTTGGTTCATTGCTTACTTGAGCTTTTAAAGAATTGTATCATTTACGCGTATCAGCGCTTCCCTCTCCTGCAGAGAAAGGAAGGGAGGTCTAAAAAGGGACGTATTTGCTTCGGTGCGCTCATCCTTTTGTTTGATCGTTCATAGGGGATCTGTGAGCCGTCTCCCTTCTCCTCCTTTCCTTATTTATTTTGATATTCGTGTTGCCAATTATCTTTTATTGTCTTGTTTACCTCTTGTGCATATATTCGTGCTACACACACACACACGTACAGATCTTCCTGCTGGAAATCCGGGGCAAGTTCCTCGTGGGTGATGCGACCCGCGACGATTTGACGCTGCGTTTGTGGGAACAATTCTCCCTCTGGACGATCGAAGTTGCTGAGCAGAAGTGTTCCTGCGAAGCGATGTTGTCGCTCGGCAAGGACCTGCTTACCCAGGCGCGGCTACGGATCGCAAAGGTAAACGACCCAAAAATGCCCATGAAGACAGTCCAGCAGTTGGTGGCTGTCAAAATGGATCCTGACGACCATATTTTGGTGGCCCTCCAGAAGGCACGGTCTACGACATCAAACACCCACAGGTCCTCGCGTTCATCTCGCCGCTCCCGCAGTCCAATAATTGACCGCTCCCGATCCACCTCCCCAGCCTACAGCGACAGACGCCCCGCTTTGTATTGTACGTACTGCAAGAGGCCTGGGTATGCAACGAACAAATCCTACAAGAAAAAATGACGTGAGAGGAGGCGCGTCGAAATGAAACGGCGCGCCGCTCCCGCTAACGAGCACCCTTCCGAGCGAGGACGCGGCTTTGGTACTGGGTCTGCGCAACCGCACCTCAGAGATCCTTCAGCAAGGCGACCGCCGCCTGTTCTTCATCACCGACGAAGCCGTGGCACCCGAGGTGGCGTCATGCTCAGCGCCGCAAACGAGGCGGCAGGCAAAATGTGGGCCGAAAGCACGTGGAGCTCGCGCCTGAGTGTCGGCGGACGGTTCGCCCAGTTTTGCGAGTCCTTTCACCTGCCACACGGTCGGACGGCAATTGCTGCTTTTCTGTTAGCAAGGGGCCTGAAGTCATCCACGCGCCTTCAGTACGCCAAGTGGCTCCGGGACACGGTTCTGCGACCAAAGGACCCCCTCGACGCGTTAATCCTCGGCCTGCAACGGATGTGAGCAAACGAAGAAAATCGGCAAGCGAAGCCGTCAACCCAAGCGCAACTCTTCGAGATGCTACAACAATTCCCTTGCCTCGATCAGCACGTGGCCTTGCGGCTTGCGGGGATCACGGCGAGCCGCAGGGGCGAAGTCAGCCAACTGTCTCGCAAGAACCCCATCATCCAACGCGCCGGCACAGTGATTGTGGACCGGGTAGCGAATCCCAAAACGGCCCAATTGGATCCCAACCGAGCAGCACGGTACTTAAGGATCGAGGGCTACGGTGCACAGCAACTCCGCCGAGTCTTGCGCCCTCTACGCCCGGATGCTCCGCTGCCGACCATGAGCGATGCGATGCTCCTAAAATGCCTCCGCCAGTTCGGGTGCACGAAGCACTCGATCAAGCGTGGCGCAATTCAGCACGTCGCAACGTTGATGGCACAGGAAGAGGGTCCACAGGACATTCGGGTTCTGTCGCAGTTGGCGAAACACAAGAACTCTTTGGACGCCCCAGGAACCACGGTGGGGTACGCGGGAGCCACTTTGGGAAACCTGGCACCGATCAACCGCTGGGTGGCGAAGCTGTAGATCCCTCCTTTCTAGCGTACTTAGCCTCTGCGCCTTGGCTCGGCCCCGAGGCCCAGCCACACTCAAAACGCGCCACCATCACACGGCGGGCGCACAAGACCCGAGTGGCCACTGACACGGAAGAGAAGGAACTCCCGCTGCAGCAGACAGCCGTCTCTCCACTTCGTGTCGATACCCTTCGTACGAGAATGCTGCCCCATGTGCTCGAGCGTTTCGATCACATTTGGGAGCTGTTAGGCCAACCGCCTCCAATCGAGGACGACAAGCGCCGGCATAGTAGGCGCCTCAGTGCAAAAGATGCAGACCTGCTGCGCGCGACAGGTGTTGTATCCTTGGCGACCCCGTCCAAGACGCGCGGATGGGTAATACCCTTCACGGTGGTTGAAGAACGTGAGAGTGGTTGGCGCCGGCGCATGATCGCATGGCCCAGAGCCAAAAATGCACACGATGTGTACGAAGCGCGACTCCCTTTACAGCATGTGGCCTACTACCTCGACGCCGTGGGTGACGACATCGCGACCACAGTAGACCTCAAAGCCTCCTTCTTTCAAGTCGAGCTGCCTCCGGCGTGGCGCTCCTTGTACCGTTTTCGAGACACGCGCGGCACGCTGCTCGAACTGACGCGACTGCCTATGGGCTACGTGGCAAGTCCGGAGGTGATGCAACTCCTCGTCATGGCTGTTGCCGGACACCCCGACGTTGTTAGAAAGGAGTTCGCAAATCCCCAAACTGTGCGCACCGACGTTTGGACTGACAACATTCGTTTATCGGGAAACGCAACCGTAATCCAAGCTGCGCAAGCTGCTTTGACGATTACCGCGCAGCAAGCCAACGTCACGATCGGCGACCAACAGTGGCTTGCGCGACGGTACACCTTTCTTGGGGTGGTGTACAACCACACGACCAAGACCGTCGCTTTGGCAAGCAAATTCACGCGCAAATGTGCAGAGGCTCCGCCGCATGCGCATATGACTGTAGCCGATCTAGAGGTGTTCATTTCCCGGGCATTCTTTGCGTCCGCGGTTCTCGACATTCCCATGATTAACTACTACTTTCTGCTCAAGTTGACGCGTCGACACTTGTCCGCGCTAAACCGCGGTTTGTGCAAATTGGGCGACGGCAGTGCGCTCTCTCCCTCGGTCACCAAGCTTGCTGAATCTTTACACGCAAGGATTATCCAAAACCTTCCGCGCTGTATTCGACCCGTGGAGAGTACACCAATTTCCATTTTGGCGACTGATGCTTCTGAGCACGGTTGGGGGGCCGTTTTTTTGCCACCGTGCGGCCCGCAGCTAGTCGTTGGAGGTCGCTGGACCTCACCTCCCCCCCCCCCCAGCTCATCATGCAAGCCGAGGCACGCGCCGTGCACCTCGCTTACCGGGCGCTGGCGGCACACCTTCGTGGCACCCGCCTCCACGTGTATGTTGATAATACCTCGGTAGGGTATTCGCTCCGAAAACGACTCACCAAGTCGACAGCCATCGCCGTCGAACTCCAGGCAATCGAGCTTTTCGAGCGTGAGATGAACGTGCACGCCACCTACACCTACATCCGGTCGGCTCTCAACCCAGCGGACGCGCCGTCGAGAGGCCGCCGCTTGACCGATTTTGACTGGGCGAAAGGGGAAAACTTGCGAAGGGGAGAGTTGAAAAAGCCTCAAGATGAAAGGAAGGCAAACCTCCCATTCGTAAGTGAAGAGTTGTAAGTTTCTATTGATCTTTGATATATGCTGAGAAAACCTACTGAACATGGAATGAATAAATAAAAACCTTTAAATGGACGCTGAGATACAAATCCAGCGACACGATCCGCCTAATTAAGGATCTCTTTAACTGTCTCTCTCTTTCTCTTCCCTTCTCCCATCTTGCGCTACATAGTAGAACCGACTAAGAATTTTCTTTCCTTCTGTAAGTGCGACGAGCTGGGAGTCCTTTCACCTCTCCCTTCCTTCCCTCGCTCGCCTCGCGAAGACCAATACTCGCAGCAGAAATACAATTTATATGCCTCCTTTTTTTTAATTGTTTATTCGTTCGCACTCTGCAGGAGCTCTCCGCTCATTTCTTCTTATTCTTCGTGTTGTTGCCGTCGTTGTTATGCCCGCGTTAGGCGAGCTGATTAAAAGCAGTTGTCACCGTTTTTGATTCTTATTCTTACTTCTGTTTTCTTTGTTCAAGGGAGTACGCCCATGTCAAAGTCGCTGCAGTCCGATTCTACGCTTTCCACCGGATCGGGGCTTTCGGGGCGGTACGAGCTGACGTTTTCGCCCCTCACCAGCGGAAAGCAAGTGGGCCCGTTAGAACAGGCAAAAGCGACGGAGTTTGACGACGACGACACCTACGGCCTTGCAGACTACAATGCGAGGCCTTTTATTTCGCACCCGGCGAATCGTACCGGGCCGATGCCGCCGGTACCCTGCGGCCTCGGGGCGAAGCAGACGGCGTCTCCTTTGGTGGGCTACGCCCCTCTCCAGCCTGATCGCCGGTTTGCGGCCAACAGTGGCAGCGGCAACGGTGCCACCAACGCGTCATCGCTGCTGGCGATGTACAACAGGGCGGTCACTTCTGCCGGGTCGCCGTGCTTGGGGGTGGACGGCAAGAGTGACCGCCATCGCAGCTTCGCGCAGGCCTTGCGAACACCGCTGATCGACACCGACAACAACCGCAATCGCCACAGCACCAACGCCTGCACCGGCAGCAACAGCAGCAGCAGAAGTAGCAACAAATCACCGCTGGCCGCGTCGCAATCCGCGCGCAGCAAGGCTCGGCGAGGGCCGACGACGCCGACGACGCGGCTCGCTGAACCAGCGACGACGAACATCGCCACCTCCGCACGCCGGGTCAGCGGTGGCTGTTTGGAGCCGCTGTCCCGCAGCACCGGCGGCGCTTTCGGCGTGGTGGCGACCTCATCACGCGAGAGACGCACGCGTACACCGACCAACTCGCAAGAAGCACTGCTCGCCCAATCGAACGGCGTGACGTCTGCCCCGACCTACTTGTTCGGTGCGTCGTCGAAGAACAGCACCGTCAGCAGCAGCAGCCGCGGCGTCGCGGTCCGGGCCTCCTTCCTGGGCGAACCGCCTCCTCGCAGTGAGGAAGAGACGGACAATGCCGGCCTCGAGGGCACCGGCGGACCTGCCGGTCAAGGGACGGCTGCCTTCGCCACACCCGTTGCTGTCGTCCCCACGGCACCGCTGCACCGAGACGAGTTCCACAGCCCCGACACGACGTTGCTGCGCCGGGGGGTGGTGACGTCGCCGGCGGAGGCTCGTCCGTCGCGCCAGGTCATCGCTCTCCCTAAAGCAGCGACTGGCACGGATAGCGGCGATGTTCCAACGGGGTCGCCGACGCCGACGATACCGCGCAGCCGACGCATCAATGCGAGCCGCAGCGGCAGCAGCGTCTTCTCCATGCACACCCTCGTCTCGCGAAGGAAAAACGCGAACTGTTTCGACTACGGGTTGAGCGCGTTAGGGTTTCCCGTGGAGGGGTCAAGGCAGCCACCGCCGCCGCAGCATCAACCGAAAACACCACAGTTACGCGGCATCTCTCCCGGCGGCCCTGGTGCGAACTACAACGGTGCGGAAAGCTCCTTCGCCGCCGCCTCCCATCTTTGTGGAATAGGCCACGCCGGCGATGACAATGGCAGCGGTCTTGTGCGTATGGCGAGCTCGCCGAATGACGTGACCATGACGACGGCGACAACAAACTCTACGTTGCCGTCGCTGGTCTTACACAGCAGGCAGTCGAGCCCGCAGACACATCAACAGAGCATTGCTGGTGTGACGGGAGTGATATCGATGTCCAGTCATTCGAGTGCCTCGTTGACCGGCCATTCAGCGCGGGAAACACCATTGGGGACGTTGGCGCGGTGGGCGAGCGGCGGGGGCGGCAGTGCGGACTCCGCCTTTGCAGTGGAAAACATCGTGGATGCGTTGAAGCAGCAGCAGCAACACCAACACCAACAGGAAAGCCGGACGCCTGTCGGCTCGAATCTCTCGACGACCGCCAGAGCGGCTACGACGGCCACAACGGCGGTCATCGACAGCGTCCCAGCCGCACCCCACCTCCGTGTAGGGAGGAGGAAGACGGCGGATGCCGCTCGTGATGATCAGCCCGCTGAGGTGAAAGTGAATGCGACAAGTGCAGACACGTTGCCCAACAGAAACAGCAGCAGCAACGGCAGCGGGGCCACCCCGTCGGTGTCGCTGCGTTCCATCGTTCTGCAGCCGCGACATCTACCCCGCACCTCCGACGACGTCGACGACAACTTGCGCGGTGACAACTCCAGCGACTTCTTTGTGATGCACAATATCGCTTGTGGTGATGGCGCGAAGAGCGGACGCCACTGCAGCACCGTTGTCACGGTCGGCGCCCGCCTCGACCAACCGCCGCAGCCCTCCCCGAGCGCCGGGACACCGAATGTGCGGAATCCGAAGCTGCCCTACCAGCATGCCGGTCCGCGCAGCCCGTGCCTTGACGAAGTAGCTGATGAGGCTGACCGAGATGCGCTGTTGCAGGCGTCGCTGGTCCACCACGACGACTCGGACGACGACGAAGCGCTCCTGTACGGAGACTTCGATGAGAGCTACAACGACAGAAGCGGTGAGAGTGCGGAGGATGGCATGGAGAGAGGTGCAGCTTGCGTACAAGAGCACGGAAAAGGAAACGCCGCGCAGGCGTCGCGGCCACCCCTGTATCGCAACGGCAAACCGGCGGATGCAGCAAGAGCATCAGACACTAGTCCAGCGAACTCGAACGTCTCCAGCGAGCGCAACAGTGCCAACATACGATGCAGCTTGAACCCGGTCCGCGGCACCACCGCCGAGGAGCGCCAGTGGCTCGCCCGCGCCAGCTGTGAGACTTTTCTCCCCTTCGATGAGGTGGCGGCGGTCGGCTCACGCGGCTTCAACAGTCTCCTCCTCACTTCCTTCCTGCGTCAGGCCCGGTCTTCAGAGACGGCGCACCCTTCGGCCTCCTTCGGCAGCTCGCCCCCATCATCGATGGCTGCCACCGTGGCTGGGCTACCCTACGGTAGCTTGTGTGCGAGCGTCGCGTCGCAAACTTCAGGTTCCGCTCCTGTTGCTGCTGCTGCTGGCGACGGCAGCCGCACTGCACCTGCGGATGAAGTTCAACTACTCAACACTCGCGCGGAGCAGGACGGTGCTTCTGCTGCCATTACTACTGCTGCTGCGGCTTCGTCGCCGCGTGGGACACATGGGAATTTGGCAAGCTCGGGGTCAGCGCTGCGTGTGCCTGCACTGCCGCGCCTATCCGCATCCACATCGTTGTCATCGTCGCCCCGCCCGCAAGTGAGCGGGTCGCGTGATCGCCTGCTGCCGTCAGTGGATAACGGCAGCAGTACAACAGCGGCGGCCGAGGCGGCGCTCCCGCTGGCACTGACCCACGCCGGTATCCTGCGCTGGGCAAAGCCTCTCTCAGCAGCCGAATTGTCGGGCGTCGACGGCAGCCCCGCCGCCTTCGGGGCATCCTCGTTCGCATCCGCATCGCCGCCGAAGGGCATTGGTGAACGCCTGCTGCACCAGCTGGACCTGCTGAACCACGGGGCCTGGCAAGATGCGCAGGTACTCTGCCTTCTCGAGCACCGCAGCCCCGCCCCGACATCAGCGACGCGAGTGTTTGCCGCGGACAACGGCTACGCCATCCGCGTGGTACAGAACGGTCTCATGGGCGACTGCGAGACGGACGAGTGTGTGGAGCGCTGCGCGGCTGCAGTGATGCCGGGCGCAATGGGCACGGATGGCGCCGCCCTGCCTTGTTCGCTGGCGCTGCCGTCGGCGCTGATCGACAACGCCGTCCAGCGCTTCTTTGAAGAGGGCGAGAACGCTGTTGCGGTGGTGATCGACACGGCGGATGACTTCGCCGCCAGACGCACCGCGTCGACGACGAAGGTGCACCGTGACAGGAGTGACGGTGGCGACGACGGAGTGAGCCCGCAGATGGACGCGTGGGTGGCGCAGGCGATGGGCCGGCAGGTGGTCGAGGCATTTGAAGCGTTCAAGGATGCCCAGAGCAAGACGCAGCCGAACTTGGTCACCGACTTGAAAGTGGCGGTTGCCTTCATACCCGTTTTGCCAAACACGCCCAACACATCGAGCGACGCTCCTTTTTCTCCTTCATCTCGGCAAAATGTGAAACCGGTGTTTTACGACGCCGTGAGCGAGGCCTCGTCTCCGCGCGACGTCCGCCGACCGCTGAAGGTGGCCAAATCGCCCATCTTCGGCACCTGCCTCAACGAGTGCCAGTGGGTTGTTGTGGAGGACGAATCGGACATCACCGTCGTCTTCACACTTCTCCGTCGCATATTTCCGCAGGTGCAGGGACGGCAAGGCTTTCTGTACATCCAGTTTCTTCACCAGTGCTTTGTTCCTGGCACTGCGGCGGGTGGCGGTGCAGCGTCTTCCACGGGCGACCGTGGCGTCGCTGGGTTTACGCGTCGTCGCAGCGATGCGTTGACCGGTGGCGGTGCCTATCGCCGTAGCCACCGGCTCAGCGACATCGTCGTGTCCTCCTTCACCATCGCCTGCACCCACTTCCCGCAGGTTTTTGAGGTCATTCTGGATCAGCGGGCCGACACGCCGTGGCCGCTGTTGCGGTATGCGTTGGGCAAAGGCCCGAGCACGGTACTGGGCATTGCCCGCGTGCATGAAGAAGACGAAGAGGCTGCCTACCCGCTCAGCTTGCTGCAGCGCATAAAGGCCATTCAGCACCCGTGTCCGCGCCGCGGCAGCGTGCGGGCGTTTGTGACGGAGCAGCGCAACAAGATGACGGATCTAAGGCGACGGCTGGCAGACGCGGAGGACCGGATGATGCGCAGCACCCTGAACGCGGCAGCGCGTGCGACGATGAAGCGGCTGTCGGTGCTCATTTCTAAGCTGGCGTGCAACATCAGGGATGCCGAGGAGTTTCTGTTTGACCCCGAGACCGCCCACGTCCCGGTGTACGTGGATGCGCGTCGCTCGCCGGTGCCTGTCACGGACGATGGTGTGGTTGACGATACGACGCAGTCGCCGCTGCCGCAGCAACGCCAACAACCGACCCCGCTGTTGCCGTCGCCGGCACCCCACAGTTCACCCACCCCGGCGCGTGCGTCTGCAGCGTCGTCCTCTTCTTTTGCTACTTCTGCTCTGCTGCTGAACCCCGGGCGGCCGTTGCTGCTGGCGATGGTGCAGCATTACGACCCCCGCACGGACACAGTAGCGGAGCCCGCCACGTCAGCTGAGCGGAAACGCACTGCGAACTGGACGATTTCCCCTCGCGGTTCCACCGTCGATGCACGCAGTGCACGGAAGCAGCAGCAACAGTTACACCAAGAACAGCATGCCCCAACACAACAGCTGCTGCCACGGACGCTGACGGCCTGGCTAACGTTGACCAGGTCTGTTCCCTTTGAAGTAGATGAGGTGACGTCGCTGAACATACTGTCCGATTCTGCCGCCCAGCTGCCCGTTTGCGAGACGTGGCGCCAGGTCGGGGCCCACTTCCACGCTGGCCGCAGCGCCACCGTCGTGGTGGTGCAGGAGAAAAAAGAAGAAGGCCGGCTGCGGTCGCTGCGGGTGTCGCTGGAGCTGGTGCACGGTGTCTTAAAAGATACGTGGGCTCGACGGGGCTCTTCCCCCGCCTCGTCCGCGCTCCCCTCCTCCGCCCCATCCTCGCGCGCGGTGATGCGGGTGGCGGTGTCTGTCTTTTACCTGAGCGGGTCCGCGGTGGCCGATCTCCTGCGCTGCTCGACGACCAGCCGCGTCGTCACCGGCACGTCGGCCGCCGGCGCCGTCGTCTTCACGCCGGTCACGCTAGCGCTTCGTCCGTTGACCGGCACTGCCGTCCCGCTGAACGTCACGCGTCAGACTGTGGATTCGCTGCCGGAGTTAGAGACGGTGCTGCGTGCCGCGGTGGAGCGCCTGCGCGATGCGCAGGACGCCGTCACCGGCGACGCCACCGTTGAGGGGCCTGCCGCTGATTTGTTGACGCGGCGAAGTTTGACAGCGCCGGGCTACGCTGTCACCACCGTGGAGCTAACGCAGCGCGTAGTGCAGGACGGCGGCGAGGACGACGTGTACGTCAGTTCGTTGACGGTTATTGATCTTGGTGGTCACTTCGGTCTTCTCGGGGACGCGATCGCGACCAACGCTGCCCTTGAAAGAGCAGCCAGGGGTATCACCGCTTCTACCACTACTGCTGCTGCTGCTGCTGCTGCTGCTGGTGCTGCCGGAGAGGAGAAAGACGCACCCTCGGTGGCAGCGCTGCTGCTGGCGCGTCTGCTTGTCAAGCGGCGCGACCTTGTCGTCTGCGCCGCTGCGCTGCCCGCTGTCCCAACGGCGGCCTCCGCGTACGGCCTCATGAGTACACTGAGCGACTTTCAACGACACGCCAAAGGCGCCCCACACATTCTCTGCAGTGCGCCGCCCGGCAGTGTGCGTCGTTTCATTACGCATCTTCAGGCGGTGCTCGTCGAAGCAGAAACCCAACGGGGTGTTGACGCGAATAGTGTGTCGGAGGTGCGAGATGCGCTGACGCGTGCGCAGTCGGTGTTAGTGAACCCCCACACGGTGACCTTTGACTCCTACCCGTGTACGCAGAACGATGTGACTGCGATGATGGAGCTGCCGGCGGCGTCGCGCCTCGTCCTCGACACGTCGGCGCTGCGCAGCTCGCTCTTCACACCGCAGAACACGTCGTCGACAACGCCGACAGCCGCCGACAGCGTCTCGACGGTCGGCGGCAGCGGCGGCTCAGCTGAGGTGTCGACCGAGTCGGCGGGGCCGCAGGAGACGTGCACAGCTGTGTCACAACTGTCACAGCGCGACGAAGCGACGCACAGCATGGACGTCCATGCAAGCGAGGAGCCGCAAAAAGCGGCAGCAGCAGCGACAGTGGTGGTGGCGCCACGCAGGGCGAGCGTGACGACGAGAGGACTCAGCACAGCGGCAGCCACAACCCCTAAGGCGTCACTCGACAGCGTCAAAGGGACACCGGCGGCGAGTGCGAAGCAGAGCAGCGCCCCAACAGAGCTGCGAAGCCGAAAGGCGAAGGAAGAGCGCGGTACAGACGTCGCGTACTACGGGGTGCACTACCGCGGGCGCGACACGGTCTTGACGGAGCGCGATGTCATGCGTTTTGTGGCGCCACGAGGGCCTCTTTTCTCTCCCACAGGGGTGGGCGCAGAGACGCGTGCCGCCGCCGCTGACGATCAGAGAACCGAAGAGGAAGTGGCGGAGCAAGACGCAGAAGAGGTGGAGGGGAGCACGGCGGAGCCGGAGCCGGTGTGGGTGCCGTCGGTGCTGGTGCTGAACGCGCCAACGACTTCCTCATACGTGAAGCGGTATGCGACAGGCGTCCGCGTTCCGTTGCCGTCCTCCTCGGGCGCTCATTTCACTTCCTACGCCTCCAACGAAGTGGTGAACATCAAACCGACGTCAACCGGCATGAGGAGCTCTTTCTTGACGCGGGCGGTGTCGTGTGTCTCTCGTGGCCGCACCGCGGCGCTGCTCATCTGCGACACGGAGTCCTGCGACGCCGCGTCCTGCATCGCGTGGCTCACGCTGCGCACCGTGATGGGTGGCGTTTTCCAGTCCTTGAAGATGAAGGAAGTGGCCGGGGTGCAGCACTGCGCCGCCTTGCGAGCGTTTTTAATCGAGGAGGGCCGCGAAAACGAGTGTGCGGACCTGCTGGCACCGCGGTTGAGCGCGACGCAGCCCCGCCACGCGTTGACGCGGCTCAAGTACTCGCCCTTCTGTGGCCCGCAGCCGGCGGATGCTACGTCGCGGCCAGTGAAGGACCTGCAGGATGTGAACGTCGCCCTCCGCTCCGTCCTGGCGGCGGCACGGCTGGCACACCAGGCCACCGCCGCCGCCGAACCGCTACGTGGAGCGATTGCACTGCAGCTGACGTTCCACCAGTTCATCCCTGCCGCGGCGAGCCAGCCGGCGGACGTCGTCGTCGCGTCGCTGTGGTGTGTGCAGATGGGCTGCAGTGCCGGCTGGATGGAGGCGATCCACTCGTCGCCCGACTCCGTGACGGGAACACTGCTGCAGTACTGGGTAGGGGGCCCGTGCTACACCACCTCCGTTGTCGGCCTCTCCCGCTTTCGCGGGGTGCGCGTGGAGACCTGGAAGGAGCTGTCGAGTGCGCAGCAGCGGCTGCGGGAGGTGCCACTGCGGCTGCCGCGCCTGGGCAGCGTACAGGCGTACATGGCGTCCCTGCAGGAATGCCTACGCCGCGCAAGACGAGACCCACCGCGTGCCACGACGCTCGCCTCTGCGGAAGGGGCGGAGTCAACGGAGGAGAAGACGACAAACCCCAACTCCGCGACGCCGTCAACGAGCTCGTCTGCCGGTTCGACACCGAAGCAGGTCGAAGGGACGAACAGTGCAAGTCGTAATAGCAGTAACAGTGCCACAAAGAGCGCAGACTCGCTGATGCGTGTGACGGCGCTGCTGAAAGAGGCCCAGCGCGTTGTAGAACGAGGCCCGGATTTGGGCAAGTCGTCGCAGCTGCCGGGCCAACTGGCGCACGAAGCTAAAACCTTCGCCGATTTGGACTACGGCGAAAGAGGAGACGCAGGCCAAAACGTTTCCGGCGTTGCGGTTCTCGCCACGCAACGGTGATAAACCGCACAGTGTTTGAAGAACAAAAAAAGATAAGAGGAGACGCGCCTTGTGTTTCCCAGCTTCTCGTTTTTTTCCCTTTTGTTTGTGTAGGTGCTGAACCCCCTACGCATTAACGTGGATAGCCGCGTGCATATATCTATCTGTCTATCTATCTATATATCTATCTATATATACATCTAGATCTATAGATGTTTGTGTGCGGACGTATCGTGATGGCGCAAAACCGGTACGTGCTGGTTTTCCCTTTTTGAATTGTTTTCAACTGGCGCATGTGTACAACCCACTCTCCTCCCTTCCAAAAAAGCACAGACACACACACGAACAATCCGTCAAAGGCGTGATATATATATAAATGACATGCCTATTGTTGTTCAATAGCGGGGAAAAGAGAGTTTTTTTTTTAATGAGCAAGAGTGTCGCGGGTGCGTCCTCAACGCACAAAGACGACAGCAGAAGAAGCAGAGAGAAGCGGCCTGACTTCACCACCAAAGGATCTCCTCGGAGCTGCATAGAATGAAAGAGATGTTACATTTGTATAGTTAAAAGCTCGCCCCCCCCCCCCCCCCCACCCACTCACAGGAAAAAGAACACCAACCTTCACGTTTCCCTTCCTCTTGCGCTCTTCCTGTTCCTTTCCCTCATTCATTTGCCTTCTATGTTTTCTTCCTCTTCAGGTCTTCTTTATTATTATTATTACTATTATCCACTGCGCCTGCACAACGCACACCCCCCTCACAGAATACGACCGACCATCGTTGTGTGCGTTTCGCCTTTTTTTTGTTTTCCTTCGCGTGGACTTCTTCTTTGTTTGTGCATAGTTTTGTTTTTTTCTTCTTTTCTTCCTCCTCTTTCTACTTCCCTCCCCGAAGCCGAGACTAGATTTGTACAAGAAACAGCCGCTTCCCTCCGCTCCTACAGTTCATCGCTCTGAGGACTTTTTTTTTTCTCTCCCCCCCCTTTGTTTCGTTCACGGTGCTCTGTGCGCATCGCTATTTCGGGGCTTTCTGGTATCGTTCTCTTTTTTTGTTTTATCTGGTGTGGTGTCGCCGTGCTGCCTCGTTGTGCCCACTCTATAGACCTCTTTCTCTCATCCCCCCCACCCCTCCTCAGCGAGAAGGATTTATAAGTAAAAATACACAGAGAGAGAGACAAGAAGAGGCGACCAACAGCGCAATCAGCAAAGAGTCTTTGCCATCGACACAATCTGTCTTTTTTGTTATTGTGCGAGACGCACGAGCTGTCCGTTTGCAATAGCAACACATCATGTCTTTTGCTGGTGCTTCGCGTCCCGCGCCGAGAGGTAGCGCGGGTGGCAGTGCTGCTGCTGGTGGCGGTGGCGTGCAAAGGACGTCGTCCGGCCTACGGCCGGCTGCCCAGCGGTCCGGTGCAACACCATCCACAAACGGTGTCAGCAAGCCAATGGACGCGCAACCTGGCATGACGGGCGGCCCACATATGGGCCCGGCTGGTATGGCTGCACCCCCTGGTGCTGGTGGTGGTGCTGCTGGTGCCATGGTTCAGGGACAGGGGAATCCGTACGACAACCCAATGCACGGAGCAGGCGTCTCTGGCTACGGCAACATGGCAGAGAATTACAACGGCAATGGTGGTGGGGGTGCCGGCGACATGGGCGGCATGAGCGGCTACGGCTCGATGTACGGAATGGGCGGTGGAATGGGGCCGCAAATGGGCTCTATGTACGGCATGGGCTCCCCAGCGGGCTCTATGTATGGCATGGGCGGTGGAATGGGTTCGATGTACGGGATGGGACCTCCGATGGGCTCCATGTATGGGATGGGACCTCCGATGGGTTCGATGTATGGCATGGGCGGCCCAATGGGCTCCATGTACGGCATGGGCGGCCCGATGGGCTCCACGTACGGGATGGGACCTCCGATGGGCTCGATGTATGGCATGGGTGGCCCGATGGGCTCCATATACGGCATGGGCGGTGGAATGGGTTCGATGTACGGCATGGCCCGCTCCATGAGCTTCTCCTCCTACGGTGGCGGCAGCCTGTACGGCGGTATGGGCGGCGGTTCCATGATGAACCTGGGCGGCAGCACGCGCAGCATCAACGGGATGTGGGGGACGGAGTACGGCTACAAGGTACGCAGCCGCCGTGACAACGACATGCCGTCCATGGCAAAGATGCTGAAGGATGACGAGGAGGTCGAGGAGCGGCATCTCGTCACCGCCACGCAGAAGATGCTCGAGAAGGAGGGCAAGGGGGAGAAGGAAAGGAAAGTGGACGCAGGGAAAAAAGACGAGCCGAAGAAGGAGGCGGGCAAGGAGGAGGCGAAGGACGGCAAGGCGAAGACCGCGTCGGGCAAAGATGACGAGAAAGACGGCAAACGCGCCCTTGCTGTCAAGCCGGACGGCACAGACGCGAAGGGTGCGGCGGGGAGCGCGGAGGATGTCCTGGACGACACCAACGCGATCCGCAGCATCGTCGTCGTCGAGGACGCGAAGAGCGACCGCGTGAAGGTGGAGGAGGCGGAGCCGGGCCACAAGGTCGTCATACAAGGCACGGCCGGCAAGCCCGTGGAGTGCAGGGCGACGGACGTGTTGCTCGGGCCGGAGGCGGATGTCGCGAAGTCGTCCGTGCTGAACATGATGGCCTCGCACGTGAAGAGCGGCCACAACGTCTGCCTCATTGCCATCGATACCAAGGAGAAATCAACGCCGCTTTTCACCTCCGCGACCACTGCGTTCTTCACCAAGTCGCTGGAGAGGCTTGGTGCGGAGGATGTATGGAAGGCCGCCTTCAGCGCGACAGCCATCAGCGGCCCGAGCAAGTATCGCGATCTTCTAACCTCAGGCAACGCCGCGCCGGCGGACATCGTCTTCGGCTCCAACCCGATCTTCGGCCCCTGCATCATGGACGCCACACAGGTCGAGTTGGAGGCGGTGGCAGCGGTCGATAAGCGTGTGAAGGAGGTGCTGGAAAAACAGGCGGACCCGCAGGAGATGCTCTTTCTCCAGGCCGTCGTGCACATCCACAGGGGCGAGGACCTCTTCCTCTGCTCCATCAGCACCTTTGTGCTGCGCTCCATCGAGGCGGCGGAGGCGGCGGCCGTCTTGGACGACCGACGCGTGCCAGTGCCGGTGATGCGGACCGCCATTGGCGGCGCCACTCGCACAGCCGTCATTTCTTCCATCACCGGCGCGCCGGACGACGCGGCAAAGGAGGGCGACGTGTTGCGCGTCGCCGCCTCCATCGCGGCGAAGGAGAACTTGTCTCCCCGCAGCGGCAACGTGCCTCGCTTCATCGAGTACACGGAGAAGCAAATCGCCAAGATCGAGAAGGACGCATTGAGCCTGAGCGGGGAGGCGAAGGAGCGGCGCACGCACATGGTGGAGAAGATGCGCGCGATGGCGAACGACGCGAAGGAGCTGCTCGCGAACCCTGCGGCGGCGGCGAAGGTGTACCCGATCCACACGAAGAGCGCCGGCTCTTCGACGACGCCGGCGAAGGACGCCAACGCGGCTGCTGGGACTCGCGACCTGCCCTCTCCTGCACCGAAGAACGGTACGTCAACTGCAGCTGCAGCGGCGGCGGCTCGCCGTGTCCCTGCTGATCCGCAACAACCCGTCGCCACGACGGCTGCTGCGGATCCTACTGCTTCTGATGCAGCTGCTGCGGCTGATGCCCCCGTGTCCTCTACGCCATTCTCCTCCATTCACCGTCTCGTCTACATGCAGGGGGCCACGGCGGCGTGGACCGGCAAAGTAGTCGAGGTGGTGGTCGGCAGCGAGACGAAAGCGTACGACGTTGACGAGTGCATCGACTGCCCCGCCGGCGTCACTCCGCAGCCGCCGCTGGAGTCAAAGGAGCTGCAGCGCATGTGCAGCATCTTGCTGGGTGGCTCCAACGTCGCCGTGCTCGGGGCGGAGCATCTGGCGCCCACCCAGCCCCAGGAGCAGATGACGTGGAGGTACGTGAAGCACCTGCTGGCCGCGGTGCTCGCCCCGCCACCGACCACCTCCGAGATGACGAATGAGGTGTCCCTGCACATGTCGGTGCTGCATGAGCGCGACATCACGGCGGATCTCATTTCGGGTAGCACCGAGCGGCGCCGCCTGGTAGTGGCCACCTCGCCGCTCTTTGGGCCGATGGTGCACGAGTCGGCCGCTGTCAAGGTGCGAGATCCTCAGATGATGCGGACCATCGTGGACAAAGCCCTCGAGCTCGCCGCGTCCTGCATGGAAAAGGAAGGCTCGCTGATTGTCATGACCGCGGTGCTGAAGCAGATTGTGAAGGACGACGTGCGGGTCGCCTCCGTCTTTGCCGTGTCGGCGGCGGACATGGCCCCCTACAAGGGTGTCATCGAGCGCAACCCGAAGTACTCGCGCTCCCTTTTCACCTACGCGTTGGGCGGCCCCGCCTCCACCGCACTGCTCATCAGCGCCTCCCACACGATGGACCAAGCGGAGCTGGCTACCTCGCTCAGCGCACAACGCAGCATCTCGCACATGAAGGTGCCGGCGCCGCGCAACGGCAGCGTGAAGGAGTTCGTCCGTTACGCCCGCGACTCGCTCGAACGGCACCAGAAGCGCGCCGCCGCGATAACCGACACTGCAGAGAGGGAGAAGACGACGAGCAGCATGCGGCGCCTGGGGGACAGCCTAAAGGACCACGAGGAGCTGTTGGCGAACCCGCGCACGGTGGAGCCGCGCGCCTACCCGCCAGATGTCACTGGTGCTCAACCCGACGCGGCGCCTCCGGCGTCCGATGCGGTGGCGGCCGCTGCTGCGCAGACGTCCGTACAGGCCCCGGTGGAGCAGCGACGTACCACCCCGGTGCAGGCACAGCGTGCCGTGAAGGTGCAGCCGCGAGAAGAAAAGGAAGAGGAGCCCGTCAAGTCGGAGGCAAAGGCAGAGTCTGCGGAGGCTTCGCAAGACAAGCACAACACGCGCCCGGTGCAGTGCCTGGTTGTCATCACACAGGAGACCCGTGAAGGACTGCAGACGAAGGAGGGTTGGTCCGTCGAAGGCGCCGGTAACGCTCTCACCGTCACGGACGTGGAGGGCGCGCACAATTTCGCGGTGGACGAGGTGGCGCTGCGCATGAACCGCAACACACCGATTGAATCGACGGTGCTGGAGGAGCTGCGCAACAAGTTTTTGGAAGGCCAGAACGTTGCCCTCGTCACGGCGGACACGCGGGGGTCGGCGTCGAGTTTGGAGGCGGTGGACCGCAGCGTGCGCGGCATCCTCGCCAAGTTGCCCTCGACCAGCTCCCTCTACGTGGCGCTTTGTGCGCTGAAGGAGCAGACGAACATGGTGCTGGATACTCTGAATGAGAAAGACGACTACAAGCCGATGGAGATCAGCACGTCGCCGCTCTTCGGCCCCGTCGTGGCCGACGCGTCGTTTCGCAAGGTGGCCACCTTGGAGGACTTCGTGCGAGTGATGAACACGGGTCTGCGCAAGTGCGGGGAGAGCCGCGCCTGCGTGGTGCTGCAGCTGCTGCAGGTGGAGACGAAGCCGGCGGAGGCCGACGTGTGCGTGAACTCCTTCCTCGGCGTCATGTGCCCGGGCGACATCAGCGTGTACCGCCGCGCGCTCGACCAGCCGGTGAAGAAGCGCGGCATCTTCTCCTTAGCCCTCGGCGGGTCGTGCCACACTGTCTTTATGGCTGGACTCACGAAGAACCCAGCGGACGAGGGCTGTCTGCTGCTGCCGCGTCTCGCGCAGGCTTTCACGGCGTCGGTGCTGAACTTGAAACCGCGCGACAACAGCATAAAGCGCTTCGTGGAACGCACGAAGGGCGCGGCTGCGCAGGTGCAGCAGAGTATCGAGCGCGCCACGTCTGAGGAGGAGAAGGCAAAGATGCAAGCGTACCTGGAGACGGTTCAGAACATGATTTCGACAAGCGAGGCGTACCTCGCGGACTCCGCAGACAAGATCCCGCCAACGTACCCAATGAACAACCGCCCCGATCGCCGTGAGTTGTAGCAGGAGGGGAAAAAAAACACACCTAGTGTACGCAAAACTCCACGGCTTATTCCACTTGCTCGAGGGCGATGGACGAAGGGATACCCCGAGGGGGGAGGGAAGGACGGAGAAACGGACCCGAACAGGAAAGCAACACAAGCAACGGTGCCCGTCCGGAACGTGTTTTGCCGTTATATATTAAGTGTTTTTTTTTCGTGCTGGCTTGCTACTACGGTTTTTCTTTTTTAAACCACACGCGTGTGGTTCATCGAAACGCGCTGTCATCTTTCTTCACGCTCCTTCCTATTTCTATTTCCTGGTGTTTCTCTTTGACGTGGTTCTATCTTTTTTTTTTTGTGATTCGCAGCAGATCGAACTCTGCCGTTGCCATAGTTTTTCCCGCCCGTACATAAATATATATTTACGCATGTATAAAATGTAAAGTGCTCCTACTGTCGGATTTTTTTGTGGTTTTATTTTTCGGGTTCTCCTGCCCTGAGAAGAGGTGTTTTCGTTCTTTTCTTTTCTTCTTTGGTGTTTTGGCCGGCAAACAGACAAGCCGACATCGAATAAAAATCAATAAACGAAGAAGTGCTTTCTTTCGTTCATCTTTGCTTTTCTTTTTGCTTGGTTTGTTTCCCCTATCATGCGCATCATCGCTTGTTGTGGATGAGATGGATCTTTCGTACGGCATTATTTATTTGTTTATTTATTTAAGAAAGCTAATAATAATGTGCGCATCTTTCCTTAGTTTTTTTTTCCTTCATATTTTCTTTTTTTTTTCATTGGAAAAGTTGACTCTCATAGTTAGCACGCACGCGTGCGTGTGTCTGTCAACACACAGATTTATATTTGCTTGGCTCTCCTTCAACGCTACCACGTGCAAATGTGACACCCCGACGGTAGTCAGAGCGATGCGGCAAACGTTCCCCAACCCCTCACTTTGTGAAGAAGTAGGGCTCATCGTTTATTTTTCTCTCTTGGTGCTTCCTTTGATGTTGTTCTCTATTTTGCTACTTCTCCTACGTTTATTTGTTGGCGTTTATTATTATTATTATTATTATTATTATTATTACTGTTTTGTTTTTCCTCTTCTGTGTGCTGTTACCGGGCCTTTCAAACTCCCTCGTCGTATCTGTGTTGATTTCGCATCTGAAGAGCTGTTTTCATAGCTTCCCCCGTCCCCCCCCCCCTCCTATGTGTCGTAATGTGTTCAACAGAGACTCTCTTTGCCATCTCAGTTTTTTTCCTCTTCTTTGGTGTCCCGTGTCTTTGTTTTATCCGCTGGTTTTTTTCGGTGGATGTTATTCGTCTCAGAACACGCGAGAATCACGCAAACAAAACCGGCGGCAACGTCAACTTCGCCTACCGTCTGTGCGACCTCTGGAAATCGCAGGCAGCTTCGCGATGCAGCGGCGGAAATACGGTGAGAAGGGGAGTTTCGTTTTTGAAGGGCTCTCTCCTCTTTCTTTCTCTCCTGGCTGCGTTGCAAGGTCTTACCTCCGCGCTGAAAACGTGCAAGGCGCTGTGTTGTGCGATCCGTCTACCTTCTGTAGACCCTTCAAGTAGGTGGCAAATTGAAAATGTCGACGAAAAGGCTTATGATCTGGCAGGAGAGGTGCACACATCCTCTGCACAGCTTCTGCTGTGTTTGTTTACGCCTTTCGCTGTCATTTTCTTTCTTTCTGCCCTCCTTTCCCAAACACTCACGCACACACCTTCAAATTCATCGTTCTCTTTTCCACTCTTTTGAATTCTTCAAAAATGCTGAGTTGACCCGACACTCACGCATTCCAACAAACGAAAAGCAGTCGCTGTTTGTTTTGGACAGCACGGCGAATAGTAGTCTCCGTTGTGTTTGGTTGATAGGCCGTTTCGTACTTTCGGAGTATATATAAGTTCTCCCTCATTGTGCATAGTTCCCCGTTCTGGTCACCCGAAACACACACACTCTCTCCCCCCACACACCCACACACCCACAAGCACACCACCACCGCCAGATCTTATTTTTGATCTCTTTTTTATTTTTTTCTTTGTTGTTGTACGACGCGCAGCGGAGCGAATACACCGCCGCTTTTGTTCTATTCCTTTTCCCACTTCTCCGTTCCACTGTACGCGTGCACACAAACACCAACCTACATCGTTCTCTTTCCCTCCTTTCCTTTTTTCAGTGTCATTTATTTTCTTTCCTTTTCTGCTTGTTCTCGTGAGCTGTATCGCCCCCCTCCCCCCCCGTGCACGTCGAACAGCACGCGACGGCTCAGCAACAGTCGCGGAAAACAACCAAGCAACGAAGAAAACAAAAGCGAAGAGCAGATGCCGCCGGTACCCGCAACGAAGGCGGCTACGCCGCAGCCCGCCTCTTCCACCCAATCGCCCGCGATGAAGGCCGCGGCGCACAGCGCAACCACCCCCTCCACTCGTCCCACGCCGCAGACCAATGGCAGGTTCGCCACGTCGCCGGCCTCGCAGCACGCGGGTGGCGGCGGTGTTGGTGGTGTACCGCCCGCTGGGTCAGCGGGACGGGTCCCGCCGGTGGGGGCGGCCAAAAAAGGCTTTGCTCCTGCGCCTGCCCCGTATGCGGCGACGGGCGCCATGAAGAATATCTCGACGCCGTCGACAGCGCCGGCGGGGGTGAGCCCCGGCAGCCGTGGCGTGGGCTCCACCAACGCGGCAATGCCCAACTCTTCCTACGGGACCGGCATGCCCCCCTCTGCGTACGGCGGCTCCTTCATGCCCCAATCCGGCGCTGCTGGGCCAAACATGGGTGCCGGAGACGCGTTGACGCCCGGTGGTGCCTACGGCAACAGCATGTTCGGCATGCAGAGCAACGGCCAGATGTACCCAGGCATCGGCATGAACAGCATGTACGGTATGCAGCAGAACGGCGGGAATGGGATGTACAATTCCGGCTACGGCACCTCCATGATGGGGCCGCTGAGTGGTGGCGGCGGCGGCAGCATGTACGGCATGGGCTCTATGGGTGGTGGAGGGGGCAGCATGTATGGCATGGGTGGCCCAATGGGTTCGATGGGCGGCGGCTACGGCTTCGGCAGCTCCTTTGGCGGCTCCCTCTACGGTGGCTCGATGTACGGCGCGACAGGCTCTCTCTACGGCACGGGCGGAAGCCTGTACGGTAGCAACGATGCGCGGGCGATCATGGGCAGCATGTACGGCAGCCGCAACGGCTCCATCTACGGCGGTTTCGGCTCCTTTTACGACGTTGGTGGGCCGCACACGAGGCTCGGCGTCGTGCGCAAGTACTCCATGCCCGGCTTCTCCTACTCCTTCGGCTCGAACCTGGGCACTGCGGCCTACCACCGCAACTCCTTCTCCGGTGGCTCGGCCTACTCCGGCAAGCGCGCTAACAGCTTCCGCGGAACCAGCAAGATCCTGCAGGCGGACGAGCAGGACACGTCGACGGAGCCGAGCGAGACGCGTGGGATTCGCATGACGGAGCGGGCGAAGGCGATGGAGGAGGGCACGGCGGGCCCGCGTCGCGGGACGACCGGCGTCGACAAGGATGGCAACACCACCAGCAACGACAAGACCGCGACGACGACGACGACGACTGACCGCGAGGGTAGAACGCCGGGGTCGATTGTGAGGAAGCGCGCCGCCGTGGAGGCACCGAAGTCACCGCCGAGCACGCGCGCTGTGAAGGCTGGTGTGACGCAGGCCCCGGCGCTGTCCACCGACTTCCGCATTCACAATGTCGCCGTACTCCAGCAAGATGGAGGCAGTAACAGGGCGAGGGTGACCAAAAAAGGCGACACCTGCGTGCTGGATGGCACCTCGTACCCGATGGACGAGGTGCTAGAGTACACGCCGACCGACGGCGGCACGCCCGACATCAAGTCCCGCTGCATTCGCGACATGATCGAGCACGTAATGGCGGGGCACAACACCGCGGTGCTCGTCTCGGACGACGGCAAGGCCACGGCAGCTGCGACGGCGACGGTGGAGTCGACCGTGGCGCAGTTAATGGCGGAGCTGAACGAGACGTCGCGCAACACATACGCTGAGGTGTCAGCCAGCATGTACGGCCTGCACCCGAACTCCATGATGCGTGACCTCCTCGTCGATGGCGCCCGTCTCAAGTCGATGGAGGCGGGCAACTCGCCGCTCTTCGGCCCTGCTCTCATGAATGTCACGTCAGGGAAGATCAGCTCCGGCGAGGATTTCAATAAGCTCTTTGAGGCCGCGCTGAAGCGGGGAGAGAAGGAGACGATGATGGTGTGCATGCTGACGGTGAAGCAGGTGCGCGGGGGCGTCGCGGACGACAAGGAGGACGTCTTCGTGTCATCCGTCTTCATCGGAGTCAGTCGTCGGGGCCCGAAGGGCTACCACGACGTCGTTGACAAGGTCTCCAGCTCCCCGCACGAGCTCTTCCGCTACGCCGTGGAGGGCCCGTCGGTGTGCGTGCACGTCATCGCCGTCAGCCAAGGCCTCCGCGACGGCCAGGTGCTGTCAGACTGTGCGAAGATCGGCGAGGTGCAGAACACCACCCCGCGCAGCGGCAACGTTCGCCGCTTCGTCGACTTCACACAGGAGCAGCTGAAGCGCATGCGTCAGCGTAGCGACACCGCCACCGGCGCCGACAAGCGCGAGCTCGAAGGCCACGTCCAGCGCCTGAGCCAAATTCTTGAGGACGCGCAGAAGATGCTTGCGGATCCGAAGAACACGGAGCCAAAGCTGTACCGGCTGCAGAACGAGCCGCTTAGCGTGCAGGAGGAGTCGCCGAGAGAGGTCGGCAACGCTGCCTCGCCTACCTCTGCGGCAGCGACGAAGCAAGATGCCAGCAAGGCGGAGGAGCCGGCCAAGTCCCGCGCTGTGCCAATCGACGCATCGGAGAAGGCAGCGCTGTCTTCGCCGCAAGCGGACCGGCCAAGCAGCACGAACGTGACGACGGTGGCCATCGTCTACAACCAAAGCGCCCGCGCCTACTCGGTACAGGACCGCACCATCACCGCCGGCGGCCTCCCTTTCGCTGTGGAGGAGGTGATTCGGCGTAAGGACGTGACGGCGCGCAAGATGGAATGCAAGGCGACGGACAAGGTGCTCGCCGCCTTTCTGAAGGGCTACAACGGCGCCGTCGTCGCATCCGACAGCACGGCAGTGGCAGCCAACGGGATGGCCTCGCCGACGATGGCGGTCGTCTTCGCCGCCGTCAGCGGGGCCCTCGCGAAGGAGGGCAGCAAGGGCGTGCGGGTCGCCGTCGCGTTGGTACGCGACACAGGCGACGCTGTCGATCTCACAAGCACTAACTACGGTGCCGCCGCCGCTGCTGCCGGTGCAGCCAGCGAGGTCGAGGTGTGGTCCTCTCCGCTCTTTGGCCCGGTGGCGCACAAGGCCGCCTTCCACCCAGTGCGCAGCACAGAAGAGCTGCAGCGACTGGTGGACACGGCCCGTGAGAACGCCGCCACTTCGTCGTGGGATGAGCACTGCGTGGTGCACGTCACTGTTGTGCACTGCTTTGCAGAGAAGGACGACATCCTCGTCTCTTCGTTGCTGGCGACCTTTGCGTCGAACAACTCGAAAGCCTACAACGAGGTCCTGCAACACCGCAACGGCAGCAGCAGCAGCAGCAACCGCGGCTTCAGTGACCTTTACCGTTACGCCTTTGGCGGTGTGGCGACCACCGCCTTTGTGGTGTCGGTCGCCGAGGAGGACGAGGTGGGCGACGTGGTCAATGCCCTCACCACACAGCACACTGCCGGCGCCGTGCGCAACCGCGCGCCACGGCAGGGCAGCATCAGCAACTTTATCTCCTTCACCACCGCCTCGCTGCAGAAGCGCCGCGACTACCTCGCTACGCTGGGCACCGACTCTGCGGAGCGGCCGGCGGCGCAAAAGGTTGTCACCTCGATGGAACGCATGCTGGACGACCACAAGCAGGTGATGGCGGACCCGGATCGCAACTTTCCCCACACCTACGCGGCGGAGAGCGGGGCGTCGAAGGACAGCGCCGCCTCGCCGCCGTCGCTGGTTGAAAAGGCAACAACGACTTCTCCTTCGGCGGCGCGCAGCGGTGCACGCAGCCGCGCCGTGCCCGTGGCGGAGGCAGCGACGGCGACAGCATCAACGCCGTCGACCAGTACGGTTGACGCGGCACAGCAGGAGGACCCCGCAGCATCCGGCTTCACGGAGCCGCGCGTCGTCGTCTTTGTCGGCCGCGACGTGGCCTCCGCGGAGAAGAAGATCTCCCTGGGGGACAAAGACTACGCGGTGGACGAGGTGGTAACGCGTGCGCCGAACGGTGGCGACTCGACCGCTGTGGCGGAGATCCAGACGCGGCTCTCCAGCGTGCACAACTGCGCGCTCGTCTCCGCCTCGTCGGTCACGGCTGCAACGACCAAGGAAGAGCCGGTGTGGCCGATCTTCGAGCAATGCCTGCGCAGCGCCATGGCGGCCGGCAAGCCCGGCGAGGACGTCCGCGCAGACCTCACCTTCGCCGTCGTGTCGGCCGACGAGGTGGTGGCCGACCTGCTCGCCGAGGACCCTCCGGCCGCGTCGCGTCCGCTGGAGGTGGCCTCCTCGCCCATCTACGGCCCCCGCGTCACCGGGACGACCACGGCGACCGTGCAGAGCGCTGATGAGTTGATGCACCTGATGGCGAAGGTGCACGAGCGGGCGGCGGCCCAGCTCCCGGCAATACACCACCACGGTGCGATGATGATCGGTACGGCCGTCATGCGTCGTCGGATGAAGGACGGTGATGTGGCGGTGGCGTCGCTGACCGGTATACTGACCGGGGCCTCGGTGAAGGCCTTCCACGAGGTCCTGGAGAAGGAGCAGGTGACCCGGCGCATGTTGCTGAATTGCGCCTACGGGGGCCCGAGCGCCACGGTGACCATCTTGAACCTCCGCGACGAGGATGCGTCGGCGCAGGACATGGTGTCCACAGCGGTCGCGCTCAGCAAGAAGCAGCGCAACCTCGTCAGTCGCTCCGGCAGCGTGCTCGCCTTCATCACCTACACGGAGGGCACGATGCAGCGCGAGCTCGTCCGGGCAGACGCGGCGACCGGCGAGGCGAAGGAGCGCCACCTGCAGAAGGCGGAGCGTCTGCGCCCCGTCGTGGCGGACCACCGGCGGCTGCTGGAGGACTTCAACGCACCGGTGCCCGCCTACCTGGGTTCTCGCAGCACCAAAGGGGAGCGCGACCAGACCCCGACCGCGGCGAATACGCCCTCTACCGGCGTGCGGCGCAGCTCCGGCGGGGCCCCGAACACGCCGGGGGCCGATCGGTCACCGCAGCAGCGTCTGTCGGCGACGCCCGCTAGCAAGCGGGACGGTGCCGCCGGTCCCAACCGCATTCGCTCCATTGTGGTCATCACCGCCATCCGCAACGCGCCCGACGCCTCCGGTCCCGTTGCCAGGGTGGAGCGGGTTGACGGGACTCACGTGAAGACGACCGTCGCTGGCGCCGCGCGCGAGCGCGAGTGCGACGAGGTGGTGTCCCGCGTGGACGCGTCGTCGCCCGTGCGGGCCGACCTGCTCCTTTCGGCGGCCGAGCAGTTCGTTAGCGGGTTTAACACTGCCGTGCTGTGCTGCGACCTCGGTGGCTCGAATGCCGGCCCGACTGCGTGTGGTCGCCTCGTCCACAACATCGTGGACACGAAGCCCGCCCACTCCGAACTGTACTACGCCGTGAGCGGCATCCGTGGCAGAGAGGCGCGGGATCTACTGCAGGCCGACAGCGCGTACGCGACGATGAAGGTGGCGAACTCGCCCATCTTCGGCCCCACGGTGTACGGCGCAACGATGCCGCAGGTGACGGAGGTGGGTGCGTTTGACAGCGCCCTTAGCGCTGCCGTCGTGGCGGCCGCGAGCGACAACGCGATGGTCGTCGTGAACGTCGTGCTCAAAGCGATCCAAGAAGGCAGTGGGCGGGGGGATGTGGTGGTGAACAGCATGTTGGTGACGCTGGCCACGGACCCGCAGGCGTACACGAGTGTCGTGAGCGCCCCGCTCAAGTCGGACCGCAAGCTCTTCCAGTACGCCGTGCATGGCAGCTGTTACACGGTCGGCGTGCTGGGTCTGCCGGATCGGGTTGCAGAGGAGGGCCTCGCGGAGTGCCTGGACACCTACGACAAGCTTCGCACGACGGAAAACCGACCCATGCGTAACGGCAGCGTGCGTCGCTTCCTCGCCTATTCGATGAACGCCATGGGCGATGTGAAGCAGAAGTTGTCGGACGCGACAGACGAGGGGCAGCGCGCGACGTACGCGCAGCGGTTAGCCCAGCTGGAGCTGATGGTGGCAGACTCGCGCGCCTTGTTGGAGTCGCCGCAGGGCCGTCCGCTGAAGGTGTACCAGTAAGCAGTGTTGACGTTTCGATTTAACAGCGCAGGCGTTCTTCTCTTTTAGGGTGTGTGTGTGTGCTGTGTGTCTGAGGTCAACAGGTTTCGCTTGATTTTGCTTGTCAGTGTTCGTTTGTGCTTTTTTTTTCTCATTCCAAATGGTAGATGCAGTTTTTGGCTGTTTCTAACGTTAAATCCTCTGTGCCCATAATTACTCCCTGTTTCGACTATTCCAGTTTGTTCGGCCAAATACGCTGAGCGCAGATCCACTAACCAGTGTGTACAACTCGAAAATGATGTGTATATCTCGACGGTGAAGGTCTCGCATGCTTGAGCACGCGCCTTTGTATCGGCGCCTTGAGTAAAGGTTGCCCCCGATGCATATGTCAGAGCTACCACGATAGGGGCTCGATTATACTATTTTCATTTGCTTTTGTTTCCTTTGCGGAGTCGGAAGACGGGAGGAGTTGTGCCACGGTATGGCCGGTGCGTAGTGTTGTTGCTCACCACTCCTCCTCATTCTTTATTGATGTAGTTGCCATTTCTCATCGTTTTATTTTGGTACTGTGTTCATCTTCTTTGTGTTTTTTGTGCTCCTCGTTGTGTTTCGTCACGTAGAAGAGAACTGTGAAACGGTTTTTACCTTGACGCATGGGCATTTGCCTTTTCCCGATCGCTTCTCTGAATGTTAGCGCGCGGATATATGTACCTGTGCGTGTGTGTGTAAGTGATTTATTTATTTATTTATCGCTCTCCTAGCTTTGTCTCCTGTTGTGCTCCCCACGTCTGCTTTGCTTTCTCTGCCGCTGCGTTTTGGTCACGTTTAGGCACTCGCCGCACTTCTCCCCGGAGGTCGCCTTCCGCTTCGGTGCTGCATTTTTTAAGAAAAGAAAATAGTTGCAATGCAGACTCTTCGTTGACGGCCGGGTAGCCGAAAAAAAACAACAACGAAGGAAAGGAAAAGCTCGTTAGAGAAGCGTTTCAGCAGTAACATAGTTTGTTTTTCCTTTTGATGAAGATAAAGATGAGTCTTTTTTTGTGATCTTCTTACTTATACCTTTTTATTTTTCTTATTTACTCGTAGATGTCTGTGCAACATGTGTGTCGTTTCCGTTTCCGTTTCCCGTCTGTTTCCTGTTTTTTTTTTGTCTTGTCTCTCTCTCTCTCCTTTGCTATATGTGTGTTGCTCACCGTCTCGTGAGCAGTAATTTACCAGGGAAGAATTCTCAACTTTAGCGCCGTGATTTAGTTGTCATAGCTCGAAAGTTGATGTTTTTGTAGTTTTATTATCACTTTTTTTTTCAGTTCTACAGATTTGGTGCGCATGCTTTTCCCTCTGTTTTCATTCTTCATTCTTTTGTGCAATCTGATATCATAGTTTTGATGGATTTAAATACGAATACGTCAAGATCAGAAAAATAATAGTACAAAGAACACAGTGTTGTCGAAGGACGAGGAATGGAAGGTAGAACACGTGCACACACAGTTTTACCAGCAGCTCTCTCGAGTAACAACGCCCACTTTGCTCCGCGAGCAGTCACAGACACAAAATTCAAACAGAGTCTTGAGACGCTGTGTTGACGGGCGCGTACACGGAGACGAGCGATCATTTCGCGCTTCTGGATGTTGTCACTCCATGTCGGGTGGAGCCCGCAAAAATAAAAAAAGATCAAGACAGATGCGAAGTGAAAATAGCATTCGATTGCTGTCTTTCTTGTCCTGTATCTTGATGCAATGGAAAGAAGAAGTTCTCCGCGTTGATGCACAAAGGGTTATTCCAATGTCACGGAACTTCCCCTTTCATTCTTATACTTCCTCGCCCTCTTCCCTCTTCCTCTCTCTCTTTTTCTCTTATTTTCCTCGACGCCGCTCTCGTGCTTTTGCCGGGTGCACACCGCTCTCATCGCGTTGCCAATTCTATTGATTGCACCGGCAAAAAATATATATCACCAACAACACACAACTAAAGGATTCGAAACGACACAACGTTTTGTGTATTATCTGACTTTTCCCTCGCAGGATCTCCGTTGTTTTCGTTTTTGTTTTCATTCTCTCTTGTTCTCGTTTTTCACCATTGTCTACTGTTCTTATATCCTTTTTTTTTCTTTCAGACCTTCCCACCCGTGCCTTCGCCAACACGAACAGTAGCCAGACGCAGACCCGCGCTGACGTTGTCGCACCCCTTTACGGTGCACGTGCTGTTGCATTGTCGGTGGAAAAGCGTAGATTTTGCTTCGGCGTCGTCTGCGAAAAGGACAAAAAAGAAAGTCAAAGAAAAGTGCCACTGAAAACTATTTTTCTTTTTCATAGTGGTTTCCCTTTCTCTTTGTTATTATTATTATTGTTGTTATGATTATTATTGACTCTTCTTCTTTTTTATTGGCTGATTTCGTTTCTCCTTCCCTGAATTGCTGCTGATTGGAGTGCGTCTGTTTTACCCTCTCCACAGCATCTTACTGCGAATTTGAAGATCTGTGTCTTTCCCACTCCCTCTGTTTTTTGTTTTATTTTCACTGTCGCCGTTGATTGTTTTTGCCGTAGCGTTGCCTCCGGACTTTGTTCTTCTTCCGTGCTGCGCACCACCAAATAAATATCGCTAAAAAAACTCAAGAAGGAGAAGCTTACTATTCGCAGCCATGTACTACGGTGGGTATGCTCAGGGCTATGCCGGGGATCAGGGCTACGCCGGGGATCAGGGCTACGTCGGCGATCAAGGCTACGGCTACCAGCAGCAGCCGATGATGCAACCGATGATGCAGCCGTACGCAGCAGACGCCTACAACCCTTACAGCCAACAAGACGCGTACGCGCAGCAGCAGCAGCAAATGATGATGGGGGGCGGCGGCGGCAACTACCCGGGCGAGGGCCAGCACGTGCAGGGCTACGTAGAGCCGCCCGTCGACGACGACGATCGCGGCGCCTCGATGCTCAGGTCCAAGAAGAGCTTTTCCGGCCCGCCGCCGGGGTCGGAGCGGAGGCAGAGCCTCAGCCGCACCCGCTCCACCCACTCCGTCAAGAAGGGCGAGGGCAGCGGGATGGCGCGGCACGGTAGCGTCTTCATCAGCAACCGTGAACGCGACACGCAGGTCTCCATCAGCACCCGCGGCGGCATGAGCATGCATTGCGTCGGCGACGACGCGGAGGACTTCAAGGAGTACTACGGCGACATGGCGTCCCGCAACGAGGAGCGGAAGATGGATGGGCTGAAGGCGATCAAAAGTTACCGTGGTGACATTGAGGACGGCGAGGACGTCGGCAAGCCGCGGCGGGTGACAAACCGACGTAACGTTGACGGACGCTCCGCGACGGGCTACGGCGGCATCAACTTCAAGCGACACGCAGCGATGCGCAACGGCGAGCAGTGGGGCGACGTCGAGATCCGCATGCGCGATGGCACGAAGCGGCGCGAGCTCGACACCGACTTCCCACAGTCGCAACCGCGGTCCCAGCAGCCGATGCAGCCGCAGATGCCCATGTACCAGTCGGCGGTGTGTATGCCCGTTGTGGAGGAGCCGCCAGTGATGCCGCAGATCTACAGCCAAGAGGACATCCACTCCTACAGCAACCTCAGTGATGCCTTCGCGGAACGCGAACAGGCAGAGGAGCAAACCGACTTCTAAACAACCGCGGCATCGAACAGCGGCGGACACAGTGAGAGAACAAAAATGCCTGAATAAGAAGTGCGGAAAGCGGTGCGGAGCGACCACCAGAGATGCACTTGAACAGCTCATGAAGATGCGATACGGGGAAAACATAGCTGTTCCTCATAACAACACTGGCAGCCTAGTTGTGTGTGTGTGCGTCTGTCTGTCTGTCTGCGTATATGTGCGCTACGCCGTTTGGAATATTGCGTTGCGAAGCTGCGTTTTTCTGTTGCGTACGGCTCTGCGGTGATTCCCTCGGCGTTTTGTGTGTTTGTTGTTCTCATGCCGTGGAGCAGGAAATCGCGTAGGCATGTGTTTCTTTTCTTGGTTTTCTGTAGTCTTTTCAATGTACTTTAATTTCTCTGTTTCTCATCTTTATTTATGTGCCTTTTGTTTCTCGAAGAAATTGGAACGGTCTGAACGCGGTGAAGAGCGAGGCTGTAGAGTAACTCCTTTTTTTTTTCTTAGGAGGAGATTGGGGGGCGGGAGGAGAAGGCCGTTCGCGTTGATGTTCACCGCTGCTGTGGTAGCACATCTTGAACTCTCTCGTCCGTTCCCCCCTCCCCCCGCTTTTTGTCTTTTTTTTGTCTTGGTAACACAACACAAAAGAATAAGAAAGAAACAGCAACGACAGGAAAATGCCCTTTAGCGTACCGTGCAACAGCCGACTTAAAAAGCCTCGAGGAGTAGATGAGTTGTCTTCCTCTTTCGCCTTCACAGTTTGTGTTGTTTAAAACCCAATTTATCTTCCCTTTCGCTCGTTGCTGCGTAGTCTCAACTTCTCCGTCTCGGCTGCTTTACTTTTTGGTTTCTGTTCTTTCTGCTGTGTGCGCGGCAGCCGCAGCAGCAACAAGAAGATTGCCGCCGCCCTCGTTTTTAAAAGTGGAGTGGGCACGTGTAGGATGCACTTCGAGGTGCGCGACCTGTGTTCTCGTGCGGGGGTGGTTCTTCGTTTGCTTTGTGTCGCTTCCCCCTCACCATGTGCATATTAGTTTCTTGTTGTTGTTGGGGATCTGGCCAAACTGAACGAGGAGGAGCACACGTTTTTGCGCATCGCCAGACGGCGTTAAAACAGAAAATAGTAAAGCAGCGACGGATCCCGGAGGGAAGAGCAGGAAAAACATGATGCGTGTTTGCTGGAAGCTGTGCAGAGTGGCCGGGCGGGGGGAGTCACGAGACGCAGCAAGAAGCTGCCGGAGCGGAGAAAGCGGCAACGAGAGGTGCGGGTGGTTTTTCTCTTTTCTCTCTCTCTCTCTATCTCTGTGTGCGTGCGCGCACGGGTCCTTTCCAGATGTACCACGGTACTTTTAGATGATGTGCCTCTCCCAAGGACGCGCTTTTCTGTGTGGCTCGCGCCAACGCAAAAGGAAAAGAAAGCGCTGCTTTTTTCGACGACTAGGAGTCCTCTTGGCTTTTTTTTTTCTGTCAGTTATGCCTTTCTCGCATTTCATGTCTACGTTGGTGTGCATAGAGTTACATGTGCGTGTTAATGCGCTTGTGTTGATAGCTTTTTTTTCTTCTTTTTGCTGTTCTCTTAATCGTCAGCTCTCCAAAATATCGTGTATAGTTGGACGGGGTTTGCACATTGTATGAACTGTGCGTTTTTGGTGTTTCTCTCGTGTCAGCCCCTCGTGCCAACGTTGCCTTTTTTCTTTTTTAAAGTATTTTCTTTTTCATGTGATATTGCTTTCCATCTTTCATGAGAACGTAGTTCGAGCGGCTTACATAAAATAGTCGCCTGCACCTCTTTTTCTACTTTCTTTTCGGATGTATATTACATTTTGGTGCCTTACTATTTCTCGGTTGACGTGTGTATGTGTGTGTGTGTGTTTACTTGTTCTTCTCCTTTCCATGCTCTCGTTCCAAACTTAGGTGCGTTATGAGACAGTGAAGAAAAGAGGCGAAGATATGCTTTCGTCGTCTCCGCAACTCCGTGAAGTGCGTTGCTGCTGTAAAGGAATAGAGAAAGAAAGGAAGAATATCATTAGAGCCGGTGGTGGAATTGCGCTGGCTCCGTCTTTTTTTTTCTTCTCTTTTTCCCCTTGTTCACACGTTTCTCCGTTTTTCTGTCTTTCTGTTCTACACTTCTATTATGGCGTTGCTGATGAGGCACTTGCGCCTTCTTTTTTTTAAATTTGGCTGCTGCGCTTTCATACAAAAGCACACTCACACACAAAACAAAAAGATCAACAAAAGAAGTCTTCTTCGTGCTTTCTGATCAAATTTCGTGGGTTTGCTTAGCTTTGTTCCGTCTCGGTCTTTCTTTTTTAAGCGTTTTCAGCGCTTCCTTTGATGTTTGTGTTTCGCTTCTATTCCTTTCTTTTACCCTGTCGAAACTCCTACTTGCTGGTTCGTTTCCTTTCGTTTTCCTCTTTTACTTACTAAAGCTATCTCATCTCTTAGAGACAAGAATTGTCGCGCGACCGATCCTCCTTTTTTTGTTGTTTTAATTTGATAGGTTTCACCTCTTAGGTTTTCCTTCGTCCGAACCCGCGCAATGGGTGTATGATACGTACAAACTGACAAATCAACAAACTAGCAACAAATAGAAAGGCAAAGCGAGCAACTTCAAGGACGCGTCTTCTGTTGCCTCGATAATGCTCTTCAAGCTGACAGACAACTGGCGCCTGAGGGGAGAAACGGGTAGGCAAAAACACACACACACACATGTCGAGCAATGTGTGACAAAGTATTCGACGCTTTTAGATTCCTTCCCCCCCCCCCTCCTTGTGTGTGTCTCCCCAGTTAACGAGCGGCCGCAAAGCGAACTCTGACGTCGGCAGCGCCACGCATATACTCGCAGACGAACGAAGAATACAAAAAGTGAAACCTTTTTGGCTGTGAGAAGGCGCTACAAAACGGTGTCTTTTTTGTCCATTTTTTATGTTGAACTACCGAAGAATTGCTATTACCTCCTTCTCCTCTCCCTTCTTCTATATATGTATTCCTTCGTTTCACTCGTGTCTTTCTACAGGACGCACTTTAGAGACGAACAAAGGATGCGCTTTCACTGTACATACTAGGCAACATCCAAGTTTCTCTTTTAGCTTCGTGGCCCCATTTGCTATTCATTTACCGTTTTCGGCGTTCCCTTTGTCTTGCGTTCCTTCTATTGGAAAAATAAAACACAAGAGAAAAACAGTAGTTAGTGAACACAGAAACTGTGAAAGGTGCGTTTGTTTGTTTTGTTATTTCTTCGGCAGGATACTACGCTGCGTTCTAACTTCACCGTGCAGCCACCCCTTGGGGCTTTTCCTCCCTCCGTCGCTAAAACTCGTCTTCTTGAAGTCTTCATTCGTCGCCGCTGAGCACCATAAGAAACGTTTAAAGGTTTTCTTTTTGTTTAATTAGCTCCTCTTTTTTTTCTTCTCTCTGTACGTGTGTGTGAGCATATTTCATAATCGCCAATAACCAAAAAATAAAACCAACGCCTGTGGTTTTGCGTGTGAGTGTGCGCGTGTGTTTTTATGTTCTTCTACGCAGCACGTTGTAGCGCAGACGGTGCTGGTGCCTGTTTGTTTGTTTTCTCGTTTGTTTTCTTGTGAGGACTGTGTTCTGCCTCTTCCCACCTTATCGAAATACGTTATTCCTCTATCGGCAGGACTTGTTTTTTTTTGTTACCGTAGCTCTGAGACGTGAAGGAATGCCCAGCCTGGGGAAGAATCGCAGCCACTCCAGACGGCACTCGAGTGAGCCCTCACAGACACGCGGCGGGGACCGCAAACACTCTCGGCACGCAAGGCACTCCCGACACTCTCACTCGCGCAGCGCTGCAGATGACGCACCGCCGCCCCACCGCGAGAGCCGTTCCTCTCTGACGGACTCGAGCGCTCTGGAGTCGTTTCCGGCGGTGAGTTCCGCCCCGTATGAAGCGGACCGCCAGCGGCGTTTGTCGAGGTCGAATCTCTCCTCCTCTTCTCCCTCCGCCTCCGCCTCCGCTACCCTCCCGGCGTTGCACGCGAGCACCCGCGAAGACGACGCCCCTTCACACCTTCGCCGGCCAGCAGACACCGTGACGATCCCGCAAGGTCTCATGCCGAAGGAGGTGCCACAGCCGCTGCGGGCGGAAGAGTGCAGGGGGATGGCGCCCGCCAAGCCGCGGCTCTCGCACAGCAGCAACAGCCTGTACACGCGGTGGGTGAACGCCTACACCTACGGCACCGCCGCGCAGGGTCAGAACAGCCTTGACAAGTACGGCGATAAAGGGAAATCTCCGGCGATGGATGAGAGGGCACAGGACGACGACGACGACGCCGACGAATCGGCGTCTCTTTCTACACCGGCAGAGTCGCGGCGACGACCGCCCGCCATTCAGCGCCGGCCGGAGAGGGCGACGCCGCTCGCGGTGCCGGTGCCGAAAGTGGGGTCGACGGTGCCGGAGGGCGATGCGCTTGCCGACGAGGACGACTCCATTGAGAAGTGGATGGACCGCGCTGGTTATTTCTGGGTCACGGACGGCCGCTCCAACACCGACCATGACATCGAGGAGGAGGAAGAGGAGAAGGAAGAGGAGGCAGAGGAGGACGAGTCTTCAAACAGCGATGTGGTGGAGGCAAGTAACAAGACAGAGGAGGAGAGGAATGAGAAGCCGTCTTCACTCCGGCCTGGCATCGCCACGCCATCACCGTCTTCATCGAAGGGGCGCAGCCTTCCGGCGTCGTTGGCGCGTATGCTGCACAACTCCTCGCCCGTGCGGTCCACCGCGCTGACGACGAAGCCGGCCTCGCTGCCGCCCGTCGTCGCTGGACGGGAGAGCCGCAACCGCCTCGACCGGGTATGGACACCAAGCCCCGGGCCTTTTGAATCAGACCGCGGTGGGGCCTCCATGCAGGGGCCGTACTCCATCCTCTCGAACGGTAGCGATGACAGCGACACGGCGGCTTCCGCCAGCGCTAGGGGTGGGGCCGTCGCCGGTGGGGGTGCCTTCTCGCCCCTCCCGCCCCCCGAATCGTCGTCCACGCCGGCGCTGGGGAGTATTCCACGCATGAGGGACGGGCTTGAACCCGATCTGGACGTGTCTGACAACGACAGCCGCCACTTTGTGTCGGTGAGTTACCTGACCGGCGCAAGCGACGCCGCCTCGAGCAGCGGCAGCAGCTTGTGGTTCTCGGATGATGCGTCGGAGCGTGAAATGGGGGCGGAGATGGTCGAGAGTGACGAGGACGAAAGCTGGAGCGATGCGTACGCAGCACGGCTCGCTACGGACGAGGCGTCGCCGCGCGATCCGCGGCAGCACGAGAAGCCGATGCAGCGTGGGGCAATGGAGTCTAATTTGTTAGACATTGGTCAACGCGAATCCCATCAACAGCAGCAGCAGCAGCAGCCAGGCGATGTTGCGTACCCGTGGGCCGTCGCACCACCTCGCTTCCGCCTTGACGGCCACAGCGCCGACGTGATTGGGGCGCAACGTGTGTTGACGCTGCTGGTGGTGCAGGGCAGCGCCACAACGCCACAAAAGATGAGCGTCGGGATGCAGGTCACGCTGCCGACGACTGCAACAACGCCGAGTCCGACGTCGACGTTCGTCTCCGTGGATGAGACGGTGGCGGTCAAGGAGCATGATGCGTGCATTCGCTCCTCTCTCCTTCGCGAGGTGGCCGAAGAGATGCGGCTCGGCCACAGCGCGGCGCTGCTGCTCTCTGTCGCGGCCGGCTGTGGCGTGGTGGGCTGCACGACGGTGGAAAGCACACTCAGTCTGCTTCTCGCCGTCATGATGAGACGGCAGGCGCAGGCGCAGATCGAGCTAGAGAAGCGCGACGCGGCGACGGATGAAGGCGCTCTCTACTTTAAAGTCGAAGCCTCCATCGCATTGGTGCACGACGGCAGATTCGCGAAGGACTTGATTGTGAACCCTGAGGAAGGGCTCGGCTCGCCGGCACCGGTGCAGCCCATCGCGAATCCGCTTCTGGGCAGCTGGTGCGACAACACGATGTTTCAAGGAATTCGAGGCGAGGGCCAAATCAAGTCCCTACTGGAGCCCGTGCAGACGTGGCTGTCGAAGTCGCCTGAAGAGGCGGAGAAAGCGAAGGAGGTGATCTGCGTGTACGTGGTGCTGCGCCAAGTTGCCAATACGGCGCAGCCACGCAATCCTCGCACGCTGACGCTGTCGTCGCTGCTCATCTACATCTCGCGTGCGCAGGACGGCGCGGTGGGCACTCTGCGCAACAGAGCCGCCGCCACGATTCTGCAGCGCAGCCTGCTCCGCCGCGCTGGCGATGGCTGCTTCACCGTGGCGGCCTCCTGTGTACAGGAGGGAACGATGGAGACCAGCGGCAGTGCGACGCTCTGCGCGGACGCCCGCACGGTCAAGAACAACGGCTTCGTCAGCGGCGACGCAAAGCGCTACCTGGACCGGGTGCGCGGGGCAATGACGCGGGAGGCGGCGGAGCAGGCGGCACACCCCGGCGACGAGCCCGAGAAGCAGCGGGCAGAGCGGCGGCTGAACCTGCGAAACGATCTGCTGCGCAGCATGTCCTGCCTCCTGTCGGATCCCGCGGACAGCACTGTCCCCTTCTACCTCGACCGCATTGCGGCTCGCGAGGAGGCCGCCGAAAAGGCGGCACGGACGGATGGCGGGGGCGGCATGCTGGTGCAGAGCATTCTCTCCAAGGCGTTCAACATCCACATCCCAAGCGTGCTCGAGGCACTGGAGATGTTCAGCGACGGCCAGGTGCGTACCGTGGCCATCCGCAGTGCCATGAAGACGTGCGGGTATGAGCTGATCGACGGCACCGACAGCGGACTTGTGCGTGTGGCGGACCGAGTCACGTTTCACGTTGACGAGCTGCGGCCGCGTCGCATCCTTCCTCCACTGCACACCCTCCCTATCGCCACGCACACCTCGGCGCTGTGCACGCTCTTCACTAGCGGCTACAACGCCGCCCTCGCCTCCTTTGACGGCCGCAGCGCGAACGTCTTCTCCAGCCCCGTGTGGTACGTGCTGGCGGAGGCGATTGATAGGGCGTTGAACCGACCAGATGTCACACGGCGTGAGGTCCGCATTGCCTTGTCGGTGGTTCGTGGCAGCGGCGAGGCGTTGGACTTGATGGACCCGGACTCGACGGTGGTGCCGCTGCAGGTCTCCTCCTCTCCCCTCTTCGGCACGGCCGTACACACCTCCAAGCTGCGCCCCGTGACGTCGCAGAACATGCTGCGTGAGCTGCTGAACACGGTGGCGCCGAAGGCCGCCTCGTTGTGGCAGCCGAACGCGTTTCTGCACGTGCTGCTCGTGAACTTCTTCGGCACCGAGGACGACGTGTTTGTCTCGTCGTTCAACTTGTCGGTCTTCGGCTCACACGCAACGCTCTGTCAGCGCATCCTGTCGAACGACAAGAGAGCTTCGGACAGCGATAGCATGATCCTGCACCCCGACGTTATCCGCCTTCACCACGGTTTTCTCGCCGGCTCTGCCGCGAGCGTCTTCCTCATTTCGCTGAACAAGCAGGAAGACTCTGACGCCGCCGTGACAATCGCCCACCGCGACGTGCCGCAGCTTGTGAAGGCGCCGATCCGCTCCGGCAGCGTTAAGGAGTTTATCCGCCGCACGCGCAGCGCTCTGGAGCGGCGTCGCCTGCGGGCGGAGTCGGCCCCGGCAGAGGAGCGCGCCTACCTGGCCTGCGTTGAGCACCGCATCACCGACATGCTGGATGAAAACGCCGCCCTCCTCGCGCCGAACTCCGAGGCGTTTCCGAAGGCGTACCTGACGGAGCACGTGGCCGCCGCGCCGCCGCCCTCCACCACTACCGCAGCGGCAACGCGACCACAAGCGGAGTCTGCGCATCACAACGACGTAAACAATTACACGGAAAGAATTGCGAAGGTGGACAGCGCGGCGAAAAACTCGCTCATCTCCGGCAACGGCAGTGCTGCACGAAAGCCGGGCGCGACCACCACGAGTTCCCGCCACCCAAAGTGGGTGCTCGGTCTGGAACTGGGCGGGTCGGCCGCGATGGAAGTGCAGGCGGTGGGCGTGGAGTTGGAGTGGACCCCGACGAGGGAGCGCTTCGACACGGACGGGATCCTCTTCTACAATTCGACCCAGTCGGACGTGAAGCACCTCTTCACGGAGAACTGTGAGGCCATGCAGCGGCTGCGCGAGGACGCGTGTGCGGCCCGTAGCTGCGCCATCCTCGGCCTGACGGATGGCGGTGGCGGCGCGCCCGACCTGCACGTGCGCACGCAGCCCCTATGGCGCAGCTTCACGACGTTGGTGCTGAACTCCGCTTTCCAAGGCCGCGGTGGCGACGACGCGACGATGTGGAAGGACGGGAGTGAGCTGCACCTTCGCATGTGCGCCGTGCAGGATCGCACCCTCATCTACGACTTTTTGCTGGACGATGACGACTCCCGTGTCGGGGCGATCGAGCCGCCGACGAAGGTGGCACTCGCGACGAACCCGCTCTTCGGGCCGGTGGTGCGCAACACCACCGTCATGCGCGCTGGCAAGACGTCGGAGTGCCAGTGCATCATCCGCAGCGGCCTGCACGCGTTGAACCTCCTCGCTGGCGAGTACCCAAGCGGCACCGTCATCATCGCCAGTGCGGTGCTGAAGAACGTGACGGACGACGACATCGTGTTCTCGTCCATCTCCGCTTTTGGTGTGCGCATCGGCAAGGATCTGCCAGCCCTGCGCGATATCCTCGCGATGGACCCCAAAGGCGGGGCGCCGCCCTCGCTCTATCAGTACGCCTTGCAGGGCCCATGCCGTTTGCTCTGCCTCACCACGCTGGATTCCTCGGCGAATGTGCACTGCGTAGAGGCGCTGCGGCTCAGCCAAGGCATCCGCTACGGCTCCTCGCTCCCAGTCCCGACGGGCAGTCTGCGCCGGTGTCTGCAGGAGCAGCAGGACCTGCTCGGCCGCAGCGGCACGAGTGCGCAGGCGCGCGCCAACACCGAGCACGTGGCGCGGCAGCTCGTAAAGATGCTGAATGACCCCTTCGCGCCGATTGTGATCTTCCCCTTTGACGATGACGGTGTGCTGTCTCCGCACCACAGCAGCAATGCGAATCGTGGAACGCAAAATGGTGCCAACTCTTCCTTTGCCGCCGGCACAGGGGCGATCGGCAGCGGTGGGCCGCGGTGCCGCGTCACCGCCGTGATCACCGCGGCAGGTCGCAGTGAGACACCCACGCTCGATGCTCGGGCGGACACCAACACGGTCCACGTCGCGCGGACCAGTTATCCTTTTTCGGAGGTGGTGCTGCGGGCAAACAACTCCTCGGTGCTGCGCCCCGGACTCGTCTCCTCCATTGTTCAGCACGTGCAGCAGGGCCGTAACAGCGCCCTCATCGTCGCAGATGGCGCCGGCAGCACCGCCGGTGCCTCGTTGCTGTCGAAGCTGGTGAGCGTGTTTATCCACAACACCGGCGACAACGGCCACGGCGTTCATACAACCCTCTTCATGGCCGTCACGGCTGTCCGCTTCCCTGTCGCAGACGCTACCACTGGCATTGCGGAGAGTACAAAGGCGATGGCGAAGGATCTCTTCAGCATGGAGATGCGCTTTTACCCTCTGCAGGTGGCGCACTCCCCCTTCTTCGGCCCATGCGTTGACGGCGCCCATTTTTCTGCGCTGAACCGTATCGGGGATGTGTACCTCACGTTGAAGGACGCCCAAAAGGCGTGCTCGTACCTGAAGGCGACGCTGGTCGTGACGATTGTGCTGAAACAAGTGACCCGCACCGCCGCCGGCAACGTGCAGGACGCGCTGATGAGCTCCCTCTTCTCCGTCATCAGCACCGCCGAGACGAGCAGCGGCGCGTACGCGTGCGATGTCTTTGACACCATGTTGAATCAGCGTGAGGCGGCGCTGGCGGCGCCCTCGCCCGACGACCCGCGTGCCGTGGCATGGCGAAATTGTCTACTCGCGCAGGCCTTCGGTGGGAGCAGCTACACGTACGGCGTGATCGGCCTCACGGCGAACCCCGACGAGGCGGAGGCGGCGGCGATGGTGCGCTTCGGGGCGCGCCTGATGCGGGTCTCGTGCCACCTCCCGCCCAGGTCGAGCGCCGTGGACATCCTCCAACGGGCAACGCAGAAGCTGCAGGAGGGCAGCCGCGCCTCTGCGGCGGATGTGCCGACGGCGGAGGTGGGTGTGCCATGGGACTGGCACGAGATCAAAGCGGAGGCGGAGGAGATGCTCAACTCACCGGACACGTGTAAGCCGCGTGCGTTTTTATGCAGTTGAGCGAGGGCTGCCCATTCATCAAGCGCGGAGAAATTATGCCAAGACATGTATATGTATTGAACGTAAGAGGTGTATCAGAAAAGATAACTATTCATGTATTTCTCTCGTATTTTCGCTTTTCTGCCTTTCCGTAGCGCGTTATTTGTTGTTCTTGATCTTGTTTTCCTTTCTCTTTGTGTCCGGTATGCCTCGTGCTACGGCGTGTTTGCTTTGATTCTCAGCACATAGTTAGCTTCGTCTCTTCTGCTTTGTTTTTTCTTGTTCTTTTACGTTTTGCTGCGGATGTTGCCTCTGTTCAGGCAGCTTCAGTTCTACCTTTTTCATTCCTTCCCTCTTCCCATTGTCAGTCGTTCTCATGTGCGTATTGCTCTCTTTCATTGAATAAGTCTCTCTCCTGTCTATTTTTTTAAAAGTATTTTGTTTATTCCGTTGCTCTGTTGAACTCCTTGGAATCACCATCGCCACCACATTCCCTTAATATATATTTTTAATTATTTTTCCACTCTCATGTGGTGGGATGAATAAGGGGACTTGCTTTTTTCTTCGTTGTTGTTTTACAGAATATAGCAGCAAAGGGCGAAAAAAATATATATGAAGCAGTCGCGCAGATGCGTTTTGGCCTTTAGCGCGGAGGCGGCGCTGCCGGTATATATGGAGGACGGCGTTGAATTCTCGTTGCGTTGCTTCCGTTATGCAAAGTAATAATAATAATAAGATCTCTGCACCCCCCTCTCTCCCTCCCCCACGACGATGAAGAGAAGAGGAGAGAAACAGAGGTTTCTGTTCCTTGTCTCGCTGGATTACACCAATACAGCTTCTTGGGGTGAATCAATAGTTTGTAACATATTTGGAAAGGCGTTCTTCCACTCCCTGTTACTATCTCACCCCCCCCCTCCTCTTCTTTTTCTTTACGCCGTACGATGAGAAGCAACCTGCGCGGTCCCCTCCAGTTTCCCCCTTTTTCTGGCTTACCCTCTTTCTTTGTGCGTGTGTTTCCGCTCACCCTTCCGGAAACGTGCTGCAATTTTTGTTTTGAAGTGTCACTGTGCGTGTGTGTGTGTGTGTGCATTGTTGTCGTGAGACACGCAGCCTTCCGACGTTCACAGCACATCTTTTTTCCTCTTGTGTTCCTGAGCAGCTTCGCCGAGGTGACGCAGACGTACGCGGAACGATAGGAAGCAGATTTCGCTCGAGCTTTTATTTTGGTCTCCTCCGCATTTTTCCGAGTGAATTTCTGACGCAAGTGCCGTGGAGGCGAGTCCTCTCTCTCTTTACAGGAAACAAAGAAAGAGAAAGAAACACAGAATACGCATGGCTTCCTCGGCGAACGACAAGGACAAGAAGAAGTCCGGCCACCGCCGTACCTCTGCGCCGAAGTCTGGCGACAAGAACGGCGCCACGCCGACCCGCGACGGCAGCGCGCGGAAGTCCTCAGCGTCACGCTCTGCCGCCAACCCCCAACTACCACGGCAGAACAGTTCACACAGTGCGAACATGTCAGCGATGCCTAAGGCCTCGAGGCCCGCCCTGGCGGCAGCGGCGGCACCGTCGTCCACGAGGGCGTCCAACGGAGCACCCCCCAGCTCGACGAGGTCCGCCCCGCGGTCGACGGTCTCCCCAACCCGATCGACAAACGGCGCGGCCCCTCCTCCGACGACGGGGATCAACGCCCGCCGCTCCTCTGCGCCTGTCGCACCGAATGCTCCGGGTGGTGCTCCGACGGCTTGTGGAGGTGCGGCTCCCGGTCCGCAGCCCAACGCGATGGGCGGTGGCTACGGCATCATGGGGCCTGGCGGCTATGAGTCGATGGGCAACTACAGCTACAATTCCATGGGCCCGACCAGCATGGGCCCTGGCGGCATGACCGGCGACTTCGGTTCCATGGTCCCTGGCGGCATGATGAGCGGCGGTGCTGGGGGCGGCATGAACCCCTATGGCTCTATGGGTCCTGTTGGCATGAACCCCTATGGTTCCATGGGTCCTGGCGGCTACGGCGGGATGGCTACCGGCGGTGGCGGCGATGGCGGCATGAACGGTGGCTACGGCTCCATGGTAGATGGGGAAGGCGGCGTGATGGGCGGTGCGGGCGACATGAACGGCGGCGGCTACGGCTCCGTGTACGGTGGAGCGCCGGGCTCGATGTACTACAACGGCATGGGCGGCCCGATGGGCGGCTTCATGTACTACGGCATGGGTGCGCCGATGATGGGTGGGTCGATGTATGGGATGGGCGGCAACTCCATGTATGGCGGCATGAACTCGATGTACGGCATGGGCGGTGGTGGGTCGATGTACGGGATGGAATCCATGTACGGCCTCGGTCGCTACAATAGCATGGGTCTGGGCAGCACCTACGCGTCCATGTACGGTCTCGGCCGCACGTCCAGCCGCGCGAGCTTCCGCAGCAGCGGCGGCTACGTCGGCGGCTCCTTTGGGGGGTTGTGGCGTGCCCCGTCTGGCGACGGCCGCCGCGCCAAGAAGGACTACAGCATCCCGCCCCCGTCCTCCAAGCTGTCGGAGGCGTTCCCCGATAATGACAAGGCGGACGAGCCGCCGAGGGAGCAGACGGGCAAGCGCGGCCTCACCGCTGCCTCGAAGGAGGACGAGAAGAAAGCCGTCCCGGCAGCTGCCGCGGACCAGAAGGAAGAGAAGAAAGCCACGACGCCGTCCGTCGTTGTGGTGGACAACGCCGGCAGCAAGGACGACAAGGCGAAGTCCCGCTCCGTCCCACTCGCCCTAGCCTCCTCGCACCGCCTGACAAAGCAGGTGAACGATAACGTGCACGTCGTGGCCATCGCCCCGAGCGAGTCGGTGGCGAACAAGGCGGACAAGACGGTGACGGTGGGCTCGACCACGTACACGATGGACGAAGTCGCCGTCGGCGCCGTCGACGTCGAGAAGTCCGACCTACTCACCGACATTGTGGAGCAGACGCAGTGCGGCCACAACGTGTCTCTGCTGGTCCTCTGCGGCCGCCAAAAGTACGAAGCGAGCACCCCTCCCGTGACGGCGGTAGTGCGGAGCATGATGGACACCTTCGCCGCCGACGACACGCAGGTAACGCAGGTGGTTGCGTCGGCTGTCGTCTTTACCGCGCCGGACAAGATCGTGGACCTGCTGCTGCCGGACGGCGAGACGGCGGAACCGGTGAAGGCCGAGCTCGGCTCCAACCCCATCTACGGCCCGTGTGTGATGAACACGTCGGAGAAGAAGGTGGAGACGGCGGAGGCGGCGGTCGGCGTGGTGGAGGTGGCCGCGAGGATGGCGAAGCAGCGCGGCCTCGTCGTCGTCACTTACAAGATCAAGCAAATCCGCCCCGCCGCCGGCCACTCCACCTCGCGCAACGTCTACGTCTCGTCGATGCTCGTCGCGATGGTGGACGACACGAACATGGTGCACGTGCGGGCCGCCGAGAAGCACGGCACCGCCGGCCCGACGCCGCTCTTTTGCAACGCCATCGGCGGCGCCAGCCGCACTGTCGCCATCGTGCAGATCCCCGCAACCGGCGCGGAGACGTCGGTCGGCGACGCGCTGGCCAACGCGCTGCAGTTGCGTGAGATCAAGAACACGCCGACGCGCAGCGGCAACGTTAAGCGCTTCGTCGACTACACGGAGCGCGCTGCTGCGGCGAATGCGAAGACGTCGCCCGAGACGGCGGCGAAGATCAACCGCATGTTGAAGGACGCGAAGGAGCTGCTGGCCAAACCCGATGAGACCCCGCTGGTGGCTTACAACTTGTACGGCGGAGGTCACGCCCCTTCCCCCGCGTCGACAAGGGAAGAGGCAAAGAAGTCCGGCGCGACGCCGCAGACGGTGCAGTCCAGGGACGCCCCTGCCGTTGTTTCTGCAACAGCGGCGGTAGAGGATGACGACGCGAAGCCGGAGCAGGAGCGGCGCGTGAAGCTGACGGTCTGCGTGGACGGCACCACGGCCATGCTGCAGGGGGAGGCGGACGAGGTGGTGATGCGGGCGACGCCGGAGGAGGTGCCGGAGTCCGCGATGCTCAAGTCCCTGCGGGCGAACTTCCGCTACGGCCGCAACGTTGCCCTCGTGTCCGCCGAGACGCAGTCGAGCGTGGAGCTGCCAAAGCAGTACACGTGGAGCTGTGTGGACAGCATCCTCAGCAAGTGCCTCCGCGATCCGATCCCGGGGGCCGCGACGACAGCGGTGGAGCTCTTCATGGTGGTGGTGCAGAAGCGGCAGGTGCTGTGCGATTTGATGGCGGAGGGTTCGACGGTGAAGCCGCTGGCCATCGCCTCCTCCCCGCTCTTCGGCCCGATCATCGCGGACACGCAGCACAAGACGCTGCGCGCGGCGGCGGAGGTGCGTCCCGCCCTGGAGAAGGCCCTCGCGGCCGCCCCTCCGCATTTGAAGGAGATGGACGCGATGATTGTCATGACGGCCGTGCTGAAGCAGCCGCAGGCGAGCGGCGACGTGGCGGTGGCGTCCTTCATGTGCGCCTCCGGCCCGTCCGGCGCCGGCGTGCGGGGGGCGATGTCGAAGAACCCCGACTACTCCCGCTCCCTCTTCGCCTACGCGATTGGCGGCCCGTGCGTCACGACCCTGCTCGTCAGCGTCGGCGACGACCACGCGACGAACGCGGCGGCGAAGAGCAGCCTGGAGGACCTGTTGCCGCTGACGAAACAGCCGAACCACGCCAGCCGCGATGGCAGCGTGAACAACTTCCTCGACTACGCCAAGAAGAGAATGGCAGCTAACGAGAACAGGATGGAGCAGGCCGCCACCGCGGAGGAGAAGGAGCGGCTGAAGGTGGCGTCGAGCCGACTGCAGATGATGCACGGCGACTACAGCGCCCTCGTCCAGTCTCCGCAGGACAACACGCCGGCGTACTACATTGGTGAGAAGCGCGTCAGCGAGGTGCCGCGTGTGGGGGGCAAGCCCGTCGACGAGACGCCTGCTGCGGCCACCTCTAACGACCGCCGCAGCAGCCCGGAGAGCGGCCAGCAGGCACCGGTGCCCATTCGCTCTGTGGTGGTGGTCGTCAACAGCAGCACTAGCAACGACGGCGGCGCGGCGGCGAAGGGCGGGAGCGTGATGGAGGTGACAGAAAAGGAGGTTGTGCTGGACGGCGAGCACTACGCGCCGACGGAGGTGGTCGCCTCGCAGAGCGGGACGCTGCGCTCCGCCGTGATTGACGAGGTGCACAAGGTGGCACTGAACGGCTACAACGCCGCGATACTGACGAACGACGTCGCCGGCAGCACCGTCGGCATCTCCATGGTCGTCAAAACGGTCGTCGTCATCTTGCGCGGCCTGACGCCGGGCAGTGAGGCCTTCTGGACGGTGGTGGTGTCGAAGGACAACAAGGTGAAGGACATGCTGGCGGACAACTCGCCCTACTACGACCTGCACCTCGCCTCCTCCCCGCTCTTCGGCAACGTCGCCTACGGGGCGAACATCTCGCCAGTGGCGGAGGCGCAGGTGGAGCCGATGGTGCGCGAGGTGCGCAACGAGGTCCGCGAGAACGGCGGCGTGGGCTACATCTGCGTCATCCTCCGCATCACGCAGCCAGACGGGGATGTCTGCATGCCGTCTTTCCTCGCCACCATCGCCGGCGACAACGTCGACGAGTACGAGGAGCTACTCCGGCAGCGCGGCAGCAGCAGCAGCCGGCTGTTGAGCACCGCCCTTGGGGGTCCGTGCCACACCATCTACGTCGCTGGCCTCCGCGGCCCGTCTGGCGCCGGCGCGAAGCCGCTGCTCGAGTTGGCGAATAAAGTGACGAAGGTGCGCAACGCCCCACTGCGCAGCTGCAGCCTGAGGCGGTTTATCGTGCACACGGAGCCGACACTGGCGGGGATGGAGCGCAAGCTGGAGGCGGGCAACGGACCGAACCAGGCGTTAGAGGCGCAGATTGGCCGCATTGGCACCATGTTGAAGGACGCGCGCAATATGCTGAGCTCACCGGGTGGCAGCGCCCCTGCGGTGTACAAGCGTTGATTGTGACTCACTGTTGCGTTGTTTTTTTTCTCCTGCTTGTTTGCTCGGTTTTCCTTGAGGCGGTCTTGATGTGATTGCAACCATTCCTTTGATCTTTCTCTCTTTTTTTTTTTACAAAATTGATGGACTCCGATTTCTTTGATTCTTACCTTATTTTGGGCCTTTTCGGAGTGCATTCTCTCTTTTTTGTTGTTGTGATTATTACTTCTACGATTCATAGTATTCGCTTTCCTTTCCTAATTTCTATTGTTTTCTTTTGCAATTGACGCCCCTCCCCCTTGTGTTGCGTTCGGCAACGAACGCCATGTGCACCTTTTGTTTTCTCCCATGTTGAGTCAGCCTTTCCTTTCCATTCATTCACGTTGTGGTGGTGAACGCATCGTTTATTTCCCCTCCTTCTCCTTTTCCTTTTAAGATTTTTTTTCTTTATTCTTCCAATGTAGAGATGGAACGTCATAGTCGCCAACCGACCTTTTCTGTGTCGTATAGAGTTGTTGTGTGCTTCGCGTCGCGTTGTCAAGAAGAAAATGAAATGTGTTTTCTACTGCGATGAGAAGACGACAACGCTCTTTTTGTTTTTCTCTTTCGTCTTTGCTTTGTTGTTGGATAGTGGCTGTCGTTGGCGTCACTCATGGTGCCTTTTTATTTTCCGGTTTTTTTTTTGGAGGGGGGTTTCTAGGCGTGTACGTGTACGTGCAGGTGTGCTGAGGCTGCTCCGGAACACGTTTTCCCCCGGTTGGTTCTCCTTTTGAAATCGATTATCATTGTGCGCATAGAGCTGAACACTTCATGAACGTTATGGCTTTATAAAGGAAACTCTTTTTTTTTCTTTCTGGTTGCTGGTAGATGAACGTGCTGATGTGTGGACGTTGGGTTTTCTGCTGTATGGCGTCTTTTTGGGTGCACTTTCGCACAGTTCCTTGTTTGCGTTGACGTTGCTCCTGACATACGTCCTCTTTTTTTTTTACTTTTCTGTTCTTATTTTCCCTTTATGCATCTTCCGTCTGTGTGTATGTGTTTCGCTTTGTGGTGGCCTCTTCTCTCCCTCTTTTTATTATTATTACTGTTATTATTATTGTTGTTAGTACTATGGGGAGATGGATGGTGCTATTATGTGTGTCTTCATGTGTTTTTCCCCCTCTTCCACGCTGCCTTTTTGTTTTCCTCGTGAGGACTCCAACTCGTACGAGTAATATATATATACAACAAAACCCCTCTTTTAAACGATGAAAACAATGAAGAGAAAAGAGGCAAGGACGGTGTGTGTGTGTGTGTGTGTGGTATCTTAGGCGCGCGCCTTCATCTCTTCATCCCCCTTTTTTTGTGTTCAGCGGAGAAAGAGAAAGACGTCCGTATCACTTCTCTCGTGAAGTAGAAAGCACGCCTTTTTCTTTTTTTTCCCGCTGTCGCTGGTATTCCGGTTCTCTGACTCGGTTGCTTCACATGGAGCTCGATCGAGCACAGTGGAAAGCCGACTTGAGCTGATGCCTCTTATTATTGCTCCAGCGAATGTTGTGCCGCACTGTGAGGGAGAAAACTCAAGTGCCTGGGAAAGGACAAGGGCACTAAGAATACAACATATTCATGGAGGCCGCATTTGCTCAGATGTTGGTTTCAGTTGTTTTTGTAGTTGTTTTTTTCTCTCCTTATGCGTGCGTGCTCGTTATCCTTCATCTTCCACTTCTTCATCCTTCTTCTCTCCTTTCACCTTTTTGTTTTTTACCATATTTCTTCGCTGCCTCGGTTCATTGTACGGTGGACGGCAATCAGCTGCATAGTGGCTTCTTCGTCGCTGTTGCTGTCTGCTCCTACGTGTTTCTTTGTACTCGCTAATAGCTTCCTTTTCCTGTTCTCCTTCAGATCCTCATCCGTTGAGCTGCGTTGTGCGTGCTTTTCTTTCCCTCTCGCGGTACTTCGTCTTGCATAGTTTTTTTTCCCCCTCTTCTCTTGCCTTTTCTTATTACCTCCGTTTTCGTTGTTCTCCAGTCATGAGCGCCGTCGTCCCACCCCCGCCGCCGTCCGGCTCCATCCTACAGAAGCAGAGCAGCTTCTCCCGCTCGAAGACCGGCACGACGACCACCGCCGCGGCAGCCGCCTCTGCCAACAAGGCTCCCGCGAGCAACACTTACTCCGCCAACTCCGCACCGCAGGCCCGTGCGCCGAACTACATGGCGAGGCCTGCGATGCAGGCGCAGAACGCGCCTGGGCCCGGCGCCGCCCCGAACCGTGACGCAGCGGCCGGTCCGATGGCCACCTCGCCGGCTCGTCCCATGGGTGGTGGCCCAGTGAAACAGCCGCCGTCGCAGCAGCCGATGATGATGATGGAGCGGCAGCAGGTCGGAGGCCAGCCGGCCCCGCCGCCGGGGATGTGGGGCCGACCGGGCAGCTCACCCCTGCCAACGGCGCCTACCCGCTTGCGACGTCTCCGGGCACTGGCGCGAAGCGTGCCGTGCCGGCCCCGGCCTACCAGCCGATGGCCGCCGCCGCCGGCCCGACCGTGTCGCCGTCCTCTGGTCCCAAACGGGCGGTCGGTCCGGGTACGAACAACAGCGGCATGATGGCCTCGCCCAAGTCGACGCCGGCGGCTGCGGGTGGCATGAAGCGCGCACCTGGTGTGGCGCAGGGCCCCCCTGCCGGTACGCCCTCGGCGGCCAGCGGGGCAGCCGGGAATGCACCACCGACGATGGCGCGCAAGAACAGCATGAATGGCGACATGGGCGGTGGTGGCTACGGTTCGATGGGCCCTGGTGATCCGATGGGCGGTGCTGGTGGTTACGGATCCATGGGTCCTGGCGGCTACGGCTCTATGGGGCCCGGTGGTCCGATGGGCGGCTACGGTTCCATGGGCGGCGGTGGCTACGGGTCGATGGGCATGGATGGGGCGAACGGTGCGGGCATGGGCGGCTCCATGTACGGCCAAAACCCCAACCCGAGCTCCATGTACGGGCAGAACAACGCCGGCTCGATGATGGGCGGTCCGATGGGGGGCTCCATGTACGGTCAGAACCCCGGCGGTGCTGGCGACGCTGCCGCCGGCATCGGCGGTTCCATGTACGGCCAGAACCCCGGCGCCGGTTCCATGATGGGTGGCATGAGCTCCATGTACGGCATGGGCGGCCCGTTTGGCTCGATGGGTCCTGGCTCCATGATGGGCCCGATGGGGGGCTCCATGTACGGCATGGGCGGTCCGATGGGCGGGTCGATGTATGGCATGGGCGGCAGCGGCAACATGAGCACGTGCGGCATCGCCGCGCAGTGGGGCAGTTTGGCGAACATGTCCACCGGCGGACGCGATGGGCCGACAAACCGCAGCGGCATCTCCAGCGACTACGGCGGCTTCGCGGAGGCGACCACGATGGATCTGAATGACCTCTGCCCGAACATCGGCACCTTTGACGATGCAAAGGATCTCAAGCGCAGCGGCAAACGGGGCGGCAACCACCTCTACAGCCGCGATAAGCACGAGAAGATCATCGCGACGAACAACTCCAACGCACAGGCCCTGACGATTAAGCGCAAGGCGGACGTGAAGGCCTCACCTGGGGCACGGGCGACGAGCACCTCGGCCAGCCCGGCAGCGGAGTCAAACTCCCGAAACGCACCGCGCAGCTCGCCTGGCGCGGCGGCCGGCAACACTGCCGGCGGCAAGCTCCGCGCGAAAGTGCCGTCCAACTACAACGTGCACTCCCTCATCATCGTGGACAAGGCCGGCAGGACCGCCGTGACGACCGTCAAGGACCCCTCCACCGTCGTCTTCGAGAAGGGCGGCAAGAAAGAGACCTTTGAGGCCGACGAGGCGATGGCGCGTGCGAGCGCGGAGGAGGATGTCGACTCGGTGCTGCTGTCGGAGCTGCGCAGCAACTGGTTCAACGGCCACAACTCTAGCCTCATGATGTGCGCCGGGAAAGGCAAGAACACCGCGACGCAGGAGTTGGGCCGCGGCTTCATCCAGAAATGCATCGAGCGGCTGGAGAAGAACGAGAAGGACACGGGGGTGAAGTTCGATGTCTCCATGACGATGGTCGCCCTGCGCGGGGCTGACCAATGCTGCGACCTGCTGAAGGAGGGCGCCGGCTACGACAAGATGGCAATGGGGTCCTCGCCTGTGTACGGCCCGTGCCTGCTGGATCTCGAGACGAAGGTGGTGAAGACGGGCACGGAGGCAACGAAGCACTTCAACGCGGGCCTGAAGAACGCGAAGGAGGAGAAGGAGATTGTGGCGGCCTTCTACGTGCTCAAGACGATCAAGAAGACCGGAGCAGAGGTGGAGGTGCACCTGTCGTCCATGTGCCTGGCGCTGTGCGGCGAGACGGTGTCGCACATGACGGATATCAAGGACAAGCTGCCGTCGTCGCCGCACCGGCTTTTCCGCTATGCAGTGGATGGCGCCTGCGTCACCGTCAGTGGGCTCTGCATCGACTCCAACGACGAGGAGGCGCAGGCGGCGCTCGAGGTGGAGCGGAAGATGCGCGAGGTGAAGAACCAGCCGCCGCGCAGCGGCAACGTGAAGCGCTTCGTTGACTTCACGTACAAGGAGATCACACGCCAGAAGGAGAAGGCCGCCAGCGCCACCGGCTCGGAGAAGAAGACGCGCGAGACGCAGATTGAGCGCATGGAGGAGATGGTGAAGGACGCAAATGAGCTGCTCACGGAGCCGGAGAAGACGCGACCGAAAGGCTATCCCACCGGCCGGTAAGCGCTGATGTTTCTTTAGCACTTTTTCCCGTTTTCCATGTTCACTTCCCGGACAACGCTCGTTGTGTTGCCGCTTTTTTATTTTTGATGGCTGGCTGCGTTGATTTGTCATCTCTCGTCTGTTTTTGATTTTCTTTTTTTTTCCAAGGCCCCGTCGCAGTGTTGCCGGCTGCAGGCGTTTGTCACTGCCTTCATCGTGCCGAGCATTCGGAAGAAGTGTTTCCTCTTTTGTCGGTTGGCTTTTCATGTGCACATTGATTATTTGGTTTTTGTTCTTTTCTCTATTTTCCCTCGATCTACCCTTCTCGCGCTTCCCAATGTATTTTTTTTTCTTATTTGTTCTGCTTTTCGCTGGCATCTTTAGACCGTTGCACTCCGCACACTTTTTTTTCTTATTTTTAACGATATGCGGCGAAATTTAATTCGCTGAATGGGAAGATACGCGGGAGGCGCTGCAGCGATGTGTGTAATGTAGAAGACTGAAGTTTTGTTTTCTTCGTTTCTTGTGGTTCGTGTAAAGTGCAATGAAAGAACTCCGCTGAGCACTGTAAGTGCTGACCGGTGTGTGTGTATGCGCTCTCTCTTGAGCTGCAAGGGATCGCATTTTCTCGATTTGAAAGCTAGTTGAATGCCCCCTGACTATTACAACCGTGTTTATGTCTCTCTTCTAATTCATTTTTCTTCTTCCTAGTGCTTACTGATATGCTTTTCTTTATTGCATGTTTTTCTGTAGTTTCATATATATAATGCTTCATTTTTCTCCGACGAGTGTTTGATGTTTGGTACGTTCGCAGTAGTACAACTTTTTTGTTTTCTTTAAGGAAATAACTATATGTGTGTATGTATGTGTATGTCTCTGTGTGCGTGTTTGCGTGATTGTGTGTGTGAGTGTGTGAGGAGGGGGATGATGCCATGAACGTACAGTGCCTTTTTTTCCCCCTCGTCCTCACTGCGCTGTGTGTCTTTTCTGTTTCTTGATATCGGGAGTACACGGGCGCGTTACGTGTGTAGAATTATTGAACCATCTCTCTTGTTTTCTTCTCCCCTCCTCCGCTTCGTCGTGGAAGTATGCTGTTATTCTGTTTTTCCCCGTTCTTCTCGTCTTTCGTGCTGCGGTGACGGTGCACGTTCACAACAGCGGGGCGGCACAGCGCATCGGAAAAGTGAAAAAGAAGACGGGAAAACTCAACAGCGACAGCCATCAAGTCCTGAGAGGAACATTGTTTTTTTGTTTGTTTTTAAATCCTTTCCCCTTTTTCTTCTCTTTTCCTGTTGTCTTCTTGCTGAAGAACACTTGCTGCGAATGGCACCTCTGCAAAATGCAGCAAACAGTTGCCCGTGCATACAAAACTCATAGTAGAGGAGGATAAAAAAATACGAGGATGCTTTTGGTTGAATGAATCCGCAAAGGAAAGAAGTTGCACTCGACAGTCTGATCCACACGCGACGGATTCCACTTCTCTTGCCGCGAGTGAGGTAGAAACGTATGCTGTCTTTCATCTTTCTTCTTCTGTTTCCTTTCTTGTGATCACTCCTTAAAGAATTTGGTTGTTCTTCTTTGTCTGATGAATCAAGCCTCCATAGTTTACGTTCTTTTTTTGCTTTCTTGTTGTGCGTATTCCACAGTGGAAAAAAGGACATTATATATATATATATATATATATGTATATGTATATGTCAGGCACTCTTTTTGAAGGGAAAAGAAAAACAGAAAAAGCTTAGGATCGGTTTCGGCGGTCAGTTTTCTTCGTTTTTTTTTTACAGTGTTATTTTCAGTTTTGCTTTGATGGTTGGTTTTGCCAAAAAAAAAAATAATGTCATCTGTCCTCATGTGTGTGTTGTTCTCGTCTACTTTGTCAAACGTTTGTGTCCCCAAGCTCGTTAGCGCAGTACGCTGTGTCTTCCCTCCTCTCGCATTATTCGTAAAGAAAGGTAAAAAGAAAAAGCAAGAAAACAGTATTGCTGATGCCACGGTGCGTGCCGCGGATGGCCTCTTATTTTCTCCTGTTGACCTCCGTGAAAGAAGCAAGGAGTCGACTATCAAAGAACTCCGTGGCGTTCAGCATAGCGTTTTGCGGTCTTTGTATGGCTTTGCCTCTCCTTTCCGCCCTGTGATAGACTCCTTGTGCCACGCCCGATGCGGGACTTTTATTTTTGGAAATCCAGTGTGCTTGACATCGAATTGGGGGAGCGCGAAGAGCTTGAGACCACGCCTTGTTGGAAACGGAAAAGGAGAAACCGACCGTCTTTCTTCTTTGATGAAGTGTGTAAACAACGAAAGCTGGGACATCAACGGCAACCGACGCACGCCGATCGATTGTGACGTGGTCACCTCTACCTTGCCGTATCACACCAGATGCAATTTAGTCTCCCCTTCTTTCGCTTCTTCTTCTGCCTTTTGCTTCACCGTGGTTGGTCGAATTCCATCTTCGATCACACCGCCGCCGTTCTCCGTCCTCTGCAGCTCCTTTCTACTAAAGCACCTCAACAGCATCTTACAAAAGCGCGAAGGTAACCGGCCCTTCTTCAGAGACCTTCCAAGCAACGCTTTGACAAGAGTGTTTTTGGCTGAAGCGAGTTGTCGTCCTTTTTTTTTGTGTGTTGTTGTTTTTTTCCACTGTCCATCACCTCAGACGTTTGTTTATGTATTTCACAAGCGTGTGTCCTCACCTGTGTCGCTCGTGTGTGTAGACTCCGTAACACGCCTTCTTTTGTCGTTCATTTCTTCTCTTGTTTTGTTTTTCGCTGTTGTTATTGTGTCTCCAGTCCATCTCTTCGCTTTTCTTTCATCGTGAGCTCACGGGGACGTCATCTCTGTGGCTCTTTCATAGTTCATCACCTGCGCCTCTTTCCCTCTCTTTTACTGGTACTGTTGTTGATTGATTTCGTCGCTTTCCGTGCCCTTTACCCTTCCCTTTTCCATTCTGTCTTTGCATCCCGCCTCACATATAAAGAGAACAAAAAAGGACCAGAGCACAAAGCACCAAAATGGCTTCCACCACCAAAGCCAAGTCCTCGTCGAGCAAGGGGCCCTCCAGCGGGCCCAGCAAGCACCGCACCAGCAGCGGATCCCTCAAGAAAAGCAGCGGCTCCGGTCGACACAGCAGCGGCTCCGGCCGACACAGCAGCGGCAGTGGCAGCTCGAGGGACGACCGCTCCTCCGGCTCTTCTTCCTCGCACCACCACCACCACCATCACCGCAGCTCCAGCGGCTCCTCGTTGAAGCGTGACTCCGCCAGGGCACCGACGACGCGGACATCGGCAGCCGCGACGGCCCCGGTGAAGGCCGCGACGCCGGGCTCCGCGGTGCGGCCGGCTGGGGCGACGCGCGGCGTGCCGACGCCTGGTGCGGGTCCGGCGGCAACGGCCGGGGGAGCCCCCAACGCCTCCCGCGCGGCTCCGCCCCCTGCACAGAACTTCGCGGCAGCGGGAGGACCCCCCACCAACGGCCAGGCGGCGGCACCCCCGCCGGGCATGCAGACGAACGGCGGCTCCATGATGGGTGGCATGTACGGTCCAAATGGCAACCCCAGCGCGTACAAGGGTGCCGGCGGCAACTACGGCAGCGGCTACGGCTCCATGGGTGGCGCCGGTCCGCAGAACGCGCTGGGCGGCTACGGCTCGACCGGCCCAGGTGGCCCGATGGCTGCCTACGGCTCCATGGGAGGCGGTAGCGGCATGGACGGCGGCTACGGGTCGATGGGCCCGGGTGCGCAGGACGGTGCGGGAGCCGGGTACGGCTCCATGGGCGGTGCCGGTGCTCAGGAGGGCATGTCTGGCATGGGCGGCTCCATGTACGGTGGACAGAACGGCATGGGGTCGCTGTACGGTGGCGGCGGCCAGGGCGCTGGCGGCGGCTTCGGATCGATGTATGGCGGCGGAATGGGTGGTAGTGGCTACGGCTCCATGTACGGCCCCGGCGGCTCGATGATGGGCGGCCCAATGGGGGGTTCGATGTACGGCATGGGTGGTCCGATGGGCTCCATGTACGGCATGAATCCGATGATGGGTGGGTCGATGTACGGCATGAATCCCATGATGATGGGCTCCATGTACGGGATGGGATCCATGTACGGCGGCGCGGTTGGCGGCTCCATGTACAATGGCGGCTATCACAGCGTCGTCGATGCCGCCTCCCGCCGCGACGACTTTCTGAACCGCAACGACCTCATCCGTGCGGACGTGAAGCCGCTGAGCAGCGGCGGTGGCGGCGGCAAGAAGAGCGCCGCGAAGGAGGATGAGAAGAAGGGCAAAGTGGACGAGAAGACCGCGTCTGGCAAAAGCCGCGACCTCAGCGCACCCGCCAGCAAAACTGAGGAGAAGAAAGACGCGGACAGGAAGGACACGGAGAGGAAGGGCTCCGACAAGTCGAAGGATGGGGACAAGAAGGACGACAAGGACGGCGGCAAGAAGGAGGAAGAGAAGAAGGCGAAGGAGGATGCCAAGACGGAGAAGAAGGAGAAGGAAGAGGCGGACGCGAAGATCGCTGGCACGCACATCCGCGGTCTGCTCCTGCTTCACAAGAGCGGCAAAGAAGCGAAGGTGAGCACCAAAGACAGAGACACCGTTGTGCTCGCCTCCGCCGAGACGAAGGTGGACGAAGCCATCGTCGTCGAGGACCTGAAGAAGCCCATCGAGTCCATCTGCCTGACCGAGGTGCGCAACCAGTGGATGTCCGGGCACAACGCCACCCTCATGGTCGCCAGCGGCCCGAAGGAGCGGCAGAAGGCCATCGACTTCACGAGCGAATACCTCTCCACCTGCATCGGTAAGCTCGCCTCCATCGGCGAGTACTTCAACATCTACGTGACCATGACGGCCATCCAGGGTGCGGAGCAGGGCCGCGACTTGCTGAAGGACGGCGCCGGCTACGAGGCGCTGGTGCTCGCCTCCTCGCCTGTGTACGGCCCGGCACTGAATAACATGACGGTGAAGGAGGTGAACACGAAGGACGCGATGGCGGCGTGCCTGAAGGAGGGCATCGAGCGCGCGAAGGACGAGAAGGAGATGATCTGTTGCTACCTTGTCCTGAAGCAGGTGCGCAAGATCGGCTCAGCCGAGATGGTGTATTTGTCGTCCCTTAACGTCACCTTCGTCGGTCCGCACACGGAGCACCTGACGGGGCTGAAGGAAAAGAAGTCCTCCGAGCCGTGCCGCTTATACCGCTACTCCGTCGGCGGCGGCAGTCATTCCGTCTGCGTCGGCGTGGTCAGTGACGATGAGGCGGATGCGGGTAAGCTCATCGAGACGGTGAAGGCGGTACGCTCGGTGGAGAACACCGAGCCGCGCAGCGGCAACGTCAAACGTTTCGTGGAGTACACCAAGAAGGAGATCCCGAAATGCAAGAGCAAGATTAGCACCACCGAGGAGGAGAGCAAGAAGGCCAACTACGAGACGATGCTGAAGCGGATGGAGATGATGCTGAAGGACGCCGAGGATCTCGAAAAGGATCCGAAGACGGTTGCCCCGAAGGCTTACGTGTAAAAACGGAGAACAGAACGAAAGGAAAGATCATGGACTGGTGAAAGAGAAACAAACAAAATGAAGCACGGCGTGTGCGGGGCACGGAACTGAAGAACGGGAGATCACGACGAGACGATGCGCTTCACACACGTGCTGGCAGCGTCTTTCTTGGGCTCTGTGCCCCCTCTTCCCCTTCTCTTCTTTCCCTCGTTAGGCTTCTCTGCTGCCTGACTGTGCCAAAGCAGCACGGACGCGCTTTTTTTTTTCCTTTCTATTGTATCTCTCTCTCTTTCTGTTGTTCAGTATCCGCTTTTCAGTCACCGTTAGTTTTATAGTGCACTTTGCTGTTTCTCTTTTTTCAATATTTTACGTGTGTCTTTTGCTTTGTTTCATTGTCGTTGCTGCACGTTTTGTTCCTATTTTTTATTTCTAAGAATTACGCAGTTGTCTTCACGTTTGTCTGTGCTACCAGTGATACGCGTATTGTGATCGTGTAATTCCCGCGCGAGACGACGTCTCTCTCTTTCTCTTTCTTTCCATGTGTGTTCTCCCCTCGTGCGTTTCGCTCGACAACTCCTGTAATTATCTTTTATTTTGTTGTTGCTTCGCTGCCAGTAGTTAGTGGATCTAATCTGTTTGGCTTGCCTTTACCTTTTTCTTGTTTTCTTCTCACTGTGTTGCGGTTCGACTGTGCCATACCACACCTAGCTGCCGTCTTTTCCTTCTGTCGTGGTCTGGTCCAGTTTTCGTCTTCTCATCCCGCCTTCGGGACCCGCGTGAGCAACATGTTCCCTCATATAGTTTCTTCACCATACCATGTGGCCATACACATATCTATGTATGGGATCGCCGTTGTGATGATCCTGTTGTGTGTTGGGCCTCCACTTTGGGTTGCAGCTCTCTCTATATATATATTTTGCTGTATCGTTCGCAGGATGCCTTTTTCTTTATGTGCTCTTCTTCTCCCTCCGTCCCTTCTTTTCTTTTTCTTTTCCTCTGGAGTGTGTCGTCGTCAGTGGAAATGTGAAAAGGAGGACGGTAAACGCTTCACCACCAGCTAAGATGAACGCTGTCATGTATCTACTACGATTTCCTTTCTTAGCCGTTTATCTCACTTTTTTCTTTTTTCCCTCTTTCTTTAAGAACTATTGTTTGTAGACACTCCTCATACCCCTTTGTTGGTATATATATATATATATATATATATATATATATA